CATTAGCTGGATTTATTTTATTAACCACATCCTCGAGTACTCTCCCCTCAGTCAATGTCTGCATTTGTGAAGATCCATTTGTATTCTCTGAGGAATCGACCCAAGAAGTTGGTAGATCCTTTTCTGCTTTCTGTATGGCAATCTCCACATCATTCACACGCTGTGTAGCCTCTATTTCAAATGCAACAGCTTTTTCCGCTAAAATCATTATATTTGCCACATCTTCCTCAGCTTTGAGAGCATTCATTTGTGCGCGCCCAGCTACCTCATTCAACCTGTCAATCTCCTTTTGCAACTCTTCCTTCTTGGTCCCTAATAGCCTCAATTCAGTCTCACAACTAGCTAAATGATCCTGGCATTTCTTCATTTCTTCAAGAGCAGCCAAGTGTGATTCATCCTCCTTTTCTCCTAAAGTAGTAGTCAGTTCCTCTTTGCTTTCTATGGAAGTTTCTAGGGACTCAATCCTTTTTACAACCTGGAGCCTTGCCTCTGCCAAAGAAAGTGACATAGTTGCTTTTTGTATGGCTTCTTTAGCCATAGCTTCTTCATCCAGTATCTCTTGAATACTATTGAGATCCTTGTTAACATCATTCCATGCATTTGCTGCATCATCCTTCAATGCTATTGCTGCCTCTGATATCCTCTGTGCTTTATCCTCAAACATAGTGCTGTTAATCCGTGCAATCTCCAAATCCATAAGTGCCTTCTGCAATAATTCCCTTAAATCTTCCAAACTAGGTTCTGTTTCTTCATCTTTTTTGACAAATTCATCCTTCAAACTACTAGCTTCCACAATGGCATTAACCTCACTCTTTGAACTTCCATCATTACCACTCTCAATGGGATCTGCATCTTTACCACTACTATCAATATATGCTATTGACTCATTTGCTTGGCATTGGGTCAACACTCGTCCCTTGTTTGACTTATATGACATACAGTATCCAAATGAACTACAATTCCACAAGTGGCAATTGAATAACAGCCTAGAACTTTCCGAACATAGCTCCCTACTAGCAATGACTCGCTTCAAACTCTTTCGAGGTTGATTTTTTAGCATAAAGTTCGTGTTTCGAAGAGGTTCATAATTAAACCCGCTCAGCGATGTGTTTGGTTGTTCTAGTATTCTAAAGCTTACAGATCTACTACAATGTGTCACATATGGCTGGTACGCACAATATGCAAGTCCCATTCTTCTACTCTGATAGTGTGTGAAATGAGAAAAGTTTAACAAAACACTACAAGGCTATGCTGCAGCACCTCAATTACCTGAAGAGAAAAAAAACACCTGGTTTAAAAAAAACCCTATTTCAAAAAACATGGAGTACTAGATTTCAAAACAAATTAGAAATCATATAAAGATATATTCCCCTCCAAACCATGCTTCACGAATTCAAGCATTGATTCGAACAGCTTTGTGCATAATATCCCGTTGGATTACGTGATTTTAGACAAAGCTCTTGAGCATCAATAATCAATACACACCGGCACAACCATTTCTCACTAGCAAATGCAGTCTACCACAAAAACGAAAAAAATTCATGTCTAAATGGCTTAGGATCTCAATAAGCTTCAAAAAAATACTCGTAACAGATTCGGCATAGCTAGTCAGCTAGACATTGATCAAAAGCAGTTCGTTCTCGCACGCATATGGCATAAATACACAATGATAGAGACTATCCCACATGGGAAAATTGAAAAAAACTATAACAGATTTATAAGCTCTTTAATATGGTTCAGTCCAAATAAATAGCCAAATACGGAGTACATAGTCAATTCATGAGTCACAAGTTCAACAACGCCGGTGAGAGAGAGAGAGAGAGAACGTTAAAGCAAGCAGAGAACTGACCGGCGGTGGACTGCTCCGACGAGTGAGTGGAAGTTCAGGAGGGAGGAAATCAATGGCGGAGTTGCAGAGGATGAATCGATGTTCTAGGTAGGGGAAATGATTGGATTGAAGTGAGAAGGGAGAAAATCAACGGCTCTGTGCCGCCAACGTTTGGATTGTTTTATTTTTCACAGTATATCACCAATCGCCAGGGCATAGCTTCCAACTTCCCAAATAAACTGTCTACTGGGAATTCATAATTTTTCTTTTTTGTTTATTTAAAAAATTTGACAAGAAAATTATTATTCGAATATCCCATTCGTCCCATAATTTTTTTAATTTTAAGTCAAATTTTAGTATAAATTTTAGGAGTAAATTCTTCTCTGATTATTAAAATGCTAAATATTTATTTGTGGATTTGAGGGAGTATTAACTTTTTTAAAAGAAAGAAAAAGTATATTTAATTATAGTTTGATTTCTTTTGAACATTAATAACTCCATCTATTACAATATGGTATTTGTTCATACATTCTCAAACTATTAAACTCGTAAAGTTACTGTCTGAATTGAATTCAACTAATATTTTTTATTTTAATATACTGAATTATCTAATTAAAAAATTTGTTTTAGAATATGTTAAAATTATACTCGGTATAATGTACTATGCACAAAATAAAGTCATATACTCAATATATTTTAAAGAAATCTCCCTGGAAATGGGTAAAAAAGTATGAAAATATCAAAATAGGAGTTTTAGGTTTTTAAAAACCAAAATAAGAGTATAATGTCAATATGGTGTAAGTATGCGCATTGACGGTGTGATGGAAAAGTAGTGACAGTGTAATATGTTAGTGTGATCAGTCAACCATCGGTGATCCGCGTCGGCACTCCGATGGCCGATTGTGACAAATAACAATGTGGCGGTGATAGTGTAGCAATTACAAAAAAGGATGAGCCTCATCCCAAGAAGATCCTTAGATTCTAGCTAGGATATAATTTTGATATTTCAACTTTTTATACCCCAGTATCATTTATCTATTTAGATTACGTTTAACTTATGGTCAAAGAACATCAGTGTTTGACCAAAAAAATCAAAAAAGAAAATACTTTTAGGATTGGTATAAATAAATAATAAAAGGAGGTGCCATAATAAAATACGGAGTAATTAATTAATTAATCACCTAAGCTAAACAATGTGCTACAAATCTACAGTATAATAAGCCACAAATTTCCTAAACTCGCTCTAATGCAAGAAACATGTGTCTCCCAACAACCCATGACTTATGTCCAATCACGTGTTTGGAAGTAAAACTCTACAAAATTTTGTACGATAGAACACATTATGAGATCTCTATTACTTCCCTAATGCAAATGTTTTCATCCTTAATTACTCTCACCCCATCCCAACGTATGATGTTTTTGAGATTGTAAACCAAGACTTACAATATATGTATGTATTGATAATTAGGTAGAAATAATTAAAATAGGTAAATTATAATAATAAAACACATCATATGTAAAGATGTCGTCGTTCACAGGAACATTGGATAAATGCAAAGCGTGTAACAAGACCGTCTACTTCGTCGATTTGTTGTCCGCGGACGGATGTATTTTTCATAAATCGTGCTTCAAATGCAGCCATTGCAAAGGAACTCTCGTGGTAAGTTAATTAATTTTATGACGTAGGACAGATGTTAAGTTTTTAATTCATTCATTTGTTACAAGTAAAAATAATGTTAAATAAAGTTTTATGTCAGAATATTAACTTCCAAATTTTTCCAATTTCTTCCACCGATTTAAAAAAAGTGCTTATATATGATGAATATACAATAACATTATATATTCATATTTATAACATAAAATCTTAAACACATACAAGCATATACTTTTTTTTATCCAAAATCATAATTTTCTTACATTCATCATTTAATTAAGTTGTTTTTTAACATTTTTTTTTAACATTTTCCAAATTCTTCTGGTTTTTCCGTTTCGTTCGAATTTCTTCCAATTCTTTCGAGAATTGATGTTGTTTAACTTCAATTATTATTGTTGTTGTTATATATAGATGAGCAACTACTCTTCCATGGATGGAGTGTTGTACTGCAAGACCCATTTTGAGCAACTCTTCAAGGAGTCTGGAAATTTTAGCAAGAACTTTCAGACTTGTAGGTCCCCTTCTTCATATAATTTTAATGATACATAAATTGTTTTTTTTTTTAAATTATTATTTCAGTAAGATTTTTTAATTGCTTGATTCGGATTTGAATTAAGTACTAATTGTTCTTTTTTAAATTAAATCCTTTGAGCAGCGAAGCCACCAGAGAGGGAGAACTCAATGGTACACACATATTTTACTCATTGAATTGTGCACTTTTATTATATGTATAAATAATTAAACTAATCATGAAAATTATATATATATATATATATATATATATATATATATATATATATATATATATATTATTGCAGACGAAGGGGTCAAGCAAATACTCGGCCATGTTCTCTGGAACTCAAGACAAATGTGCTGCTTGCACCAAAACTGTTTACCCTCTTGAAAAGGTTCTCTTATATATAAGAAGTTTGGCCAAATTGGCCTTAGTTATGAACATTATTAAGGTCAAATTTGACCAAATTGGCCTTAATTATGAATCATATGATTTCTGTGTGTATATTGCCAAACTTGTACCCCGCAATTAATTAGACCAAAAATCTTAAATTGGTGGATGTAAGAAATTAAAAGAATATATACCGTGTCGTTTACACCGGAGTGCACGTAGAGCTAGTCATACTAGATGAATATCCATTCTGAATAAACAAAATGTTGATTTTCGATCATAATATTCATTCTGAAGCCTGCTCAGCATAGTCTTCATTATGAAATAAGGTAGTGTTCATTCTAAAATAATGTGACGTTCATTCTGAAACAACGTAGTTTTTATTTTGAAACATTGTACTCTGTAGTATTTATTTTGAAATAACGTAATGTTCATTTTAAAATAACGTAATCTTTATTCTAAAACAACTTAATATTTATTTTAAAATAACGTAATGTTCATTTTCAAATGTTCTGTTAGTCATAATGTATCAATAGAAAGTACAATGCTATATAATTTGGGAGAAATTGAAGACATTAATTTAATTTGCTTATGTACCATTTCTGTGTTTGAAGGTGATGATGGAGGGAGAGTCGTACCACAGGTCGTGCTTCAAGTGCGCGCACGGCGGTTGTCCCCTGACGCACGCTACCTACGCCGCCTTAGACGGCGTTCTCTACTGCAAGCACCACTTCGCCCAGCTCTTCATGGAGAAGGGCAACTACCAGCACGTCCTCAAGGCCGCCACCCACAAGCGAAATCCTTCCGCCTCCGATAACGGCGACGACGAGGCCGCCGTCGACGACAGCCACTCCGCCGCCTCCGCCGGAGACGACAACCGCGACAAAGACGCCGGTAATGAGGAATAATTAGTGAGCCACCCCTCCGCTAGGCTGGACAGCCACCGTATATTGTTTTTCTCTACGATTAATTTTCAATTACTCCCTAATTAATTCCCCTTTTTTTCTCCAGAATATAATTCAATATATTTACCATTTTTAAATCATTGTATTTAATTTTCCCATGGTCTTGAATTGGTTAGTTTTTTATTTCTTGTTTTGATTATTTTTTTTCATATTATTGTATTGTAAGTTTGTTGACCTCTATATATACGCTTTGTGTTTGTTTTGTAATTAATGGCCATTGTTTGTAAGGTCTACACCTAATTAATGTACGTTTTTTATCCCAAAAAAGAGTCTTGAAGATTTACAAAAATACTACGAATTGTTTAATTTAAAATAATATCCTCATTTGAAAGAGGAATAGTGGTAATTGAGAATAAATACAGTGAAAAGTCAAATAAATAAAAGAGAAATAATTAGAAACATTTTTTTTATAGAAATATGAACCTTAGTTTTTGGAGTGAAATAAGTTCATAGCAAAATGCATAGAAAAACCTAATCTATTTCACACTTTAAATAGATGACATGAAACTGAGAATCGAAAACCAAAACAACAACCTCATTTTTTAGTTCTCACTGTAATTCTTTGACTTGTCAAATACTCGCAATCCATTTTAGGTGCAATTTTAGAATATTGCAAGTTCTGGTCCCGATTTTGGTTCTAAACCGTGTCAAACCCCACATTTGAGCGAGTAGGGGCGCGGCCGGACATGTCACCCGAAGCATCTTAAGAGAGCCTTCTTGGGGACATGCCTGCTTACCCGGAACTTGGCACCCATCTCTTCGACTTGGAGAAGTTCTTCGCTTCGTTTACAAAGAACTAAACTCTTCTTCTCCTCCGCTTCCTTGTGAACCAAAGCAACCTTGTTCTTCATCTTCTCATCGTATTCCGCCTTTTTCCTTTCTATTTCTTCCTGCCATAGAAACACTCATTTTAAACTACAAAAGTACGGAGTATAATATATGGACGATCATTTTGCATCATTTCAAATTACATGATTTTATGTTTCTTAAACTATGTGCAAAATCAAATTAGGAGAAATTTTCTGAGACATGGAGAGTGTATGTTATTATTGATATTACCTCTATCTTCTTCAATTTTGCTTCTATGCTTGCCCTTTTAGTGTTCTCCCAAGACAATACTTCAGCCAGATTCTTCTGCGTTCTAAAAATGTAAAATTATGTAACTAAAATTGGAGTTCCCAGGATATTGAAACTTCATGTCATGGAATGACACGGGATGCTTCAGTACCCCATTCGTAAAATTAACTGTTCCTACCCCTAATCCCCACCCACCACGACCTGAACACACCTCACTCCTTCAATGGCACACTCAAGGAGTTAGATTTTGAGTAGCATTCTCAGAATTTACTCTTTTATTTTGAAACGCCCAGAAAAATTTAAATAAAATGAAAACTTAAGAATGAGATGAAGAAAGCCTACTTGTTCTCAATTTTGCTCTTTTCACCGTCTACCCATGCCTTTATAAAGGATGTTCTTTTTTCATCCTCAATCTTTGATAGAGCAATATCTGGAGCCAAAAAGAGACAGCTTTAAAACATTTTTATTTTACTAATTAAGGTTACCTTATTACTCCGTATATTTAACTCATTTCAGGCACAAACTAAGAAAAAAAATTAAGGTTACCTCTATTGAGAGATCCCTTTCGGGCGGTGGTCATTGGATGATCAAGATTCTCTAACAATATACAACAGAAATAATACATAACAATATAATGTTAGTTTAAGTACATAGTATATGAATTTAAAAACTATTGTTATAAGTGAAAATGCAAAAGAACAAAATCATTCAAAATTGTAAACTTATAGTTTAAGGTTTAGCAAAGATTTTCTATGTCCTCTCATATATAAGCGAGATTTTTTGTTCGTAAACATTACTCCCTCCGTCCCACTATATTTGTCCTCTTTCATTTTTACACACCATTCAATACACTTCTTTAATCCATTTTATCTTATAATTTGTATATTAAAAAATTATAGAAATTATATATTAATAATCTATATGTTAAGACAAATCAAACAAGATCACACATGACTATACTTAGGCTTACACATTGAGAAAATTTGATAAGTCAAAGTTCTTAGATGAACATTTCCAAAAGTCAAAAGTGGACAAATATAGCGGGACGGAGGTAGTAATTTTTTTTAAAATTCGATGACATTGAATTTTGAACTACTACGTGGCACTCTGTAATTTATATCATGTCAAGTAACTTTTTGTAATCTAAATTGGAGTTTACATTACTACATAGAGTAATTTACCTAAACAAGACTTAAACATAATGAGGCTGTTTGAAAATAGCGCGTTAGAAATTAGCGTCAGCGTTTTGAAAAGGCTATCCACGACCAACGTTTAGCGTTAGCGTTTTCAAAGTAATCTGTACCGTTAAAATTTTATCCAAAACGCTAACGCTAATCTCTAACGCTATTCCCAAACACACCCATTGACTTTCTCAATATAAGATCATATGTTTTTATTTCCCAAGACATTATTTAAGTAAATGTACTACCTGGACAATATTTCTTCCTCTAGACATTATTAAGTCATATGACTTATGTTTTAGTCATATTTAGTACAAATTTTTCTACTACATATTTATACTTTAAAAAGAAACAGAACAAGTAATAAAGCTAGCTACATAGATGAGGTAAAGAGAACAAGAATTTACGATACCTGATTTCTGGGGGACAATGGTTGGGAGGGCGTTGGGAGGGCGGCGGAGGCGAGAGGTGGTTCTTCTGGTTTAAGAACGGTGGCTTGCGGAGGAGCGACCGGTTTCTCCGCTCCCGCCGGCCAAACTACCTTTGTCTCCATGTATAGAATGTGTTTTCTCCAAGTTTCGGATATACTCCTTCTGTCCCAAATTATAATGCATGTTTACTATTCACAGGGTCAAACTTTATTCACTTTTAGAAATCATCCTAAATAGGACTAAAACATAGAGAAAAGTACCAAAATAGGACTTTCATGTTTTTTTTCCCTGGAATAGGACTTTGCATTGTGGTAATGTGACTTTGCATTGTGGTAATGTGGCAGTGTACATGTGCAAATTACTATACTTTCTTGGTAATGTATATGACCATGTTTGGTAATGTAAGTCCTATTTCGGGAATAAAAACATGAAAGTCCTATTTTGGTATATTTTCAATGTTTTAGTCTTACTTTGGTCTTTCTCTCATTCACTTTCTTTCTCTATTTTTGTTAGCAAATTAATAAAATAAAATATTGTTGTCACTACTAGTTTTGTAGATCTTTTGATGTAGTATTTTGATATGTAATTTTTATTTTTAAATTCTATACCATTTGTCATATAAAAGGATTTGAAAATAACTTCAGTTAAAAATCGTAAATCGAAACATGCGTTATAAAATGGGACGGGGAGTATATTTTTATGCTTCGTGAGTGTCGGATTGGGTCGAGTAATAAAGAGGGAGTAAATGTATAGGCGAGGAGGACACGTGGTTGACCGACAAAAGCCATTGGGCTGCTTACTACGTAGTATATGTATACCACGTACGCTTCTCCAACGCGTGGTTTCCGCTGCTTTGTTTGCCGACAAATGATCCACGTCGAGTTAGATGAAGGTTGAAACTCAGAGCACTGGTAATACCACTCACGTCCACCGGCGTTACGGAGCGTTTAACGCTCCGGAGGCGTGAAACACCACCCCCCGCCGGCGTGAAAAGGGCGTGAGGGCGCCTGCGTCAAACGAATGACGCGGCGTGAGGGCCGTTTATTCTTCCCAACGGCTATAATGCCGTTTTAAATAAACCTATAAAATCTCCCCTTCTCATACATCTTCCTCACACCTCTCTCTAACAAATCTCTCTTTATTACTATATATTCTCTCAAAAAAATTTATTATTTATTATAAATATTTATAAAATATAATTTAAAAATGGGTTCATCTTCCGACGATGAAAGAAGAACTTTATTTTTTCGTTGTTTCGCGACGAATTGTATTCAATGGTGGGAAGATGGCCAAGAAGAAGCCGAATCCTCCCGACGACGGACCCTACGCCAACGTCTTAACCGGGATCGAGCGGCCGCCCACGATTCACTTCTAAACGACTACTTTAATAATCCGTGTGTTTATACACCGGAGGATTTTAGTAATCGTTTTCGGATGAGTCGTCCTCGGTTCTTACGCATACTCGCCGATGTTGAACGCGAAGTTCCTTGGTTTAACCAACGGTTTGATGCGAGAGGCCGGCGCGGGTTTAGTAGCGTCTAAAAGTGCACTGCCGCGCTTCGTCAGTTGGCGTACGGGACGGCATCCGATATGTTCGACGAATACTTAAAGATGTCTGCTCGGAGCATCAGGTCCTGTGTTTATAAATTTTCAAAGGCTTTTATTCAAATTTATCATAAAAGATATTTACGCAAGCCTACACCGAGTGACATCCAGCAGTTGCAGGCGAGGCATGCCGCAAAACACGACTTTGTCGGCATGCTTGGGAGTATTGATTGCACACATTGGGAATGGAAAAATTGTCCCACTGCGTGGCACGGTCAATTCTCCTGGGGTGATCATCCGAAGCCTACCATCATGCTCGAAGCTGTTGCTTCGAATGACTTGTGGATTTGGCATGCTTTTTTCGGTGTCGCGGGCTCGAACAACGACATCAACGTTCTCGATCAATCGCCTGTTTTTGACGATTGGGTTAATGAGACCGCACCGGACTCCTCTTTTGAGCTTAGAGGGACGCTTTACAAGCGTGGATATTATTTGCCTGATGGAATATATCCGGATTATTCCACAATTGTCAAATCTCTCTCCGAACCAATGGGTCTTAAATGCCAAACCTACAAAAAAGCTCAAGAAGCGGCGAGAACAGATATTGAACGAGCCTTTGGGGTCTTGAAGGCTAAGTGGCACATTCTAGATCGTCCGTCGAAATGTTATTCTCAGACAAAAATGAGGAATATCATGTACGCATGTATTATTCTTCATAATATGATCATAGAGGATAACGGGTCTGCGATTTGTCAATACAACCCGGACGAGAGGTGCCTATGTACGAAGAAATCACCGAAGAAAAGAAACGACGCAACCGCCAAGAAATTCGAAGCCGAGAGATTCACAATGCACTAACGGCGGATTTGATCGAGCATATCTTTAGTCGTTCGAATAATTAGTAATTTCTTTGTACTATTGTTTTATTATGTAATTTTTTTTAATGAATGTAATTTTTTTTTAATGTTTTTTTAATGAATGTAAGATTTTTTTTATAATGAATTAATTTTTTTTATGCACTAGTGTCATTGCGATTAATTAAACTAATAAATTAATTTAAATTTATAAATTTAAATTTAGAAGATGTATATTTAAAAGTGTAAAAAATGAAGGTTTGAAGCCCCAGTTTGAAGCCCCGGGGCTTCAAAACCATTTCCAGTGAATTTTGGGTGTAAGTTAAAGCTGACGTGGCAGAGAGAGAAAGTTTGAAGCCCCGGGGCTTCATGACCATTACCAGTGCTCTCACTTGTCCAAACTCCAAACAAAAATCATTATAAAAATATATTCTTCTTTTATTTTTTGTGCACCTTATAATTTTTTTAATTATGTTTACAATGTTTGAAATTCATCTCATTTCCTTTTTATTAAATTGTGTGTGTCATCAAATTTTGACTTTTTATAAACACATAGTAAGTATTAATTTTTCTCGCTCATTTTAATTGAAATTTTAAGTCGAAAATTAACCTTGATTGACTGCAAATGTTTAGACTTGACAAATTATTTGGTACTATGATTAATCTTTGATGTATAATTTCAATTTAAATTGTAGCGAAAGAAAAATACTCACCATGTGTTTATGAAAATTCAAAATTTGACACACATTAAAGTGGGAAGAGTATTGAAAAAAATTAGATCAATAGAAGCAAGATGGAGTAACTTATATTATTATTCAAAGATTAAACTAATAAAAGTAAAGATGATTTATTGTTACTAAACAATAGACATACATGAAATATAACTTAATTTTATTAAAAAGGGTTTTCACATGTATTTATAATAAAAATGAAAAAAATACACGAATTAATGGTAAAGCAAATGAAAAGATCAATTGTGTAACGTTGTTATGACTTGAATGCATGACTAATCGCAAGCTTTTAAAAGCTGAAGCCTTGAAAGTCTAACCATGCATGTATGTTATGGAGTAATACATTAACTTAAATGCCTTACGGTGCAATTTAGCCAACAAATTGCATCCACACATTTTTTTATTTTCTAAGTAATTTTTTTTAAATACTGTAAAATCAAAATATCAAGAATTTTATAAGACACACGAAATATATAGTAGAACTTGTACACTAGGTATATACATGGGCGGATGCAGGAAGGAGCTAATGGGGGGCACCAGTCAATTTCTAAAACAATTAAGCAAAACAATTTTTTTATGTATTGATTAGAAGATTGCCCCCACTCAAATTATTAAACTGCCCCTAGTCCCCAGCTTAGACTAGTAGGTTAAAATAAAAAATAAAATTATAACATTATTTTAATTTCTCTTGTTAGGCGGAAATGATGCAACCTCCACTCCACCAGGACTTCGGATAAGATTAGAATTATATTTTTCATATTATATGAATAATAATCTTTCGTGCTTTTGTTTGTGTTTAAAAATATTAGTTTATCTTCCATTGTTTTAGGTTGTAGCTAGTTTAATAATTGAGCTAGAAGTTATTTTATAAATGGATTGTGGAATGAAATTCTTAAATGAAGTTGATTACTCAATTCTTCCAAAAAATAATAGTATTGCTGATTGTGGGTAAAATATTTTATTTTCATGATTCTTTTTTGCCTGAAAACAAAAGATAGAATCTGAAGCAGAAACTTTTAAGAGCTTATAATAATTTTGGTCTCTCAATATTTTTTTTGGTTTACTCATTTTTTATGATTATTTGATAAAATAAAATTTCTTGTCTCACATTATAATTTTGTAAATTTTTTTATTTACTTTTCAAGAATGTAATTTAAACCTTTTATTTTTCCTACCAATTTATAAATATAATGATTGTAAATAAGATGACATATTGCATGTTGTTCAAAATACGGTGAACATTTTGAAACGGAGGGAGTAGAAACGAATTATAAAATGCACATTTTTCATATATTAATTAGTTTTATTTTAATTTGCTTTACTTCCATTGTATGTGTGCTAGTCGATGCCCCCGGTGAATTTATTTTCTAGATCCGCCACTGGGTATATAGTTGAGCTTTTTGTTTGTACACGTGCATGTTGGCATTTAAACTTAGAGTGAGAATAACTTTTTTCAAAAGAAATCATTCTCAATAGGATCAAAAAATAAGAAAATACCAAAATAAAAATCTTAATTCATTTAAGACCAGAAGTAATAGTGTAATGTAAAAGTGTGTCTTGACAATGTGATAGAAAGTGATGACATAATGTTAAATGTGAGTGTGATCAGTCAACCATCGATATCTGTGGCGGCACTCTGATGGTTGACAAAGATGGATGATAGTGTGACAATGATAATGTGGCAGTTGCAATGTGACAATATAGTGAGTGTGGCAGTGAAATAATGTCAATGTGAACTCTTATTTTGGTCTTAAAATGATTAAGACTCCGATTTTGATATTTTTATAGTTTTTTGTTAGAGTTGGTTCCTTGACATGGTATCAGAGCCTTGATGACCAAGAGGTCACGAGTTCGAAACTCACCGCCACCCAGTTTAAAAAAATTAAAATTTCACGTGCAAGGCTGCACGTGAGGGGGCGTGTTAGAGTATATAACAATCATTCTTGGGCCACAAAATCAGAGAGGGAATGGTGGCGATGGAGTCTTGGAGGGACTGAGGAAGACGGGGATGAGGAAGATGTGAAGAATTATTATTGGAATAAGGAAAATATTGAGAGAAAAAATGATAAATTGGCAAAATTATATTTGTATCAAATTAAATTATTAAAATCAAATCAGATTAGATTAGAGAAATCAAATGAGACCAAACTAACAAAAACAACCTTAATATGAAGACAACTTAAATTAAGGCTAACGGATTATAAGGCCCAGTTTGTATTTATTAAAAATTTTCCGGAAGACAACCTCCGTCTTCTGTTCGCTCCCTTCCGGTTTCCTGGCGTCGTTGTCAATTGTCATCATCACCCGCCCTATTCTTTCTTCATTGTCTCTTCTGCTCGCTCAATCCTCCTCCTCTTTCCTTCCGTTCATCACCGTCTTCCTCTGTCCCTCCAAGACTCCATCGCCACCATTCCCTCTCCGGAAAAGGTAACAATCCCCTTTTAATTCGATTCAATTGCTTAATTTCGTTAATGTTTATCTTTTTCAGATCTTTTCCTGTTTTGTTGATTCAGAATATTAGGGGTATGATTTTGATGGCTAATTGAAGCAAAAAAAAAACTTGAATCCTTATCCTTTTGATTGAAATTTCTTGATGATTAATCAGAATCATTGATGGTTTTGGTTGAAATATCTTTGATGATTAATTGAAGCAGAATCTTTGCTTGATAATCACGATGATTTTCAAAGACAATGTTATGATTTTCCCTTCAGGACGAATTTTGTTCGATTAAGATTTATCAGGAGTATTATTCCTTAGCTTCAGAAGTATAACTTCTGTCAGTTCTGTGTGATTTTCCTGAAGGGTGTTGTCCATTTTGTTCCATTGAAGCTAAGGAAAATAGCTTGATTGTTGCTTCACGAGTATTATTCATTTTCCAGAAAGCGGACCAAACAGAAATGGACAGTTCTCACTTCTCTGGCTTTCAGCCAAACACCTGTTCAGGAAAATGACTTCGGGAAAATAACTCATTTTCTAGAAGTCATTTTCTCCCTTTCCAAACAGACCCCTAATCAAAGTACTCTATGCTGCTGCTTCCAAATGCCAGATTAATCAAAGTGTTAGGTGATAGATGATGTGGTTGTTTGTTCACTAATAAGTGATGCCGAATTGGTGTTTCTAATTTGAAACTATAAGTTCATACCTATCCAACTTTTTTTCGTGTGGATTTCTATTGGATGCTTGTGATTACATGTTTGGATTCAAACTTTTTGAACCAATATGCTCCAAACTATCCGATTTTCATGATAAAACTCTTTCAGTATAAATGATGCCACTTTTTTTGGACTATCTTGTTCAGAAATTGAACATGATGATGCAAGAAACTCCAACCATGAAACCACCTCCAAGCATGGAACTGTCTGCAAGCATGGACCCACCTGCAGCTGATGCTGAGGTACAACCAGAAACACTTGAAGAAGTGAAAGAGGAAGGCCCAATGTTTCCCTGCAACCTTTACGATGCAGAAATGGTTCATAAGATAGCACAGGAGTTTCTCACAGGTCTGGCATCTGCCTGTGTTGACAACACAACGGGTGGCATATTCAAGAGCCCTGCCTCTGTGGCTCTTGATGTGAGAAGAGAGATGGTGGACTATCTTGTCCAAAGAAGTGAGACTTTTGTGGCAGAATCCGTGGTCTTGGAAGGCGACCCCATTGTAGAAAAGCCCACTGATGCATTTGATATCATCTCTGACTTGATCGACGATTTTGCGCATTCAAAAAGGAATTTTTTCAGCCGCGTGTCCGGGTGGGTTCTGAGTGATAGGAGAGAAGACAGGATAGATGACTTTGTGCAGGAGATGGAACTGAATGGGTTTTGGTTGATTGGGAGGAGGGAGTCGGTTGCCTTAACTTTGCTTAGAAATGTTGATGTCAAGAACACGTACCATTGCAGTGTGAGATTTAGGTCCCAAGAAGAACTCAGACAGCATCTTCCCTCTTGCAGTTTCAGGGTCATGAACTGTGAGAATGAGGGGTGTAATGCTATATTTGTTGCAGGCCATGTGGAACAACATGACTCCACTTGCCCTTTCAAGATTCTTCCGTGCGAGCAGAAGTGTCCAGAGAGCATAATGAGACGCGACATGGACAGGCATTGCATTACTGTTTGTTCGATGAAACTTGTGAACTGCCCCTTCTACCCCGTAGGTTGTCTGTCTACTGTCCCACAGTGCTACATAGGGGACCACCGGTCTGAAAATCTCCAGTTTCACCTGGTTTGCATCTTGAAGCTTGTTCACAAGGAAGCGTCTGCCGAAGCTCTGAAGAGAAGAGCAGAATTGTTGATGGAGGTCAGTTTGGGCTGTCCTGTATTTCTCATTCCTCTTTCTATTTCAGAAACAAAACGTGTACTCATGGTGGCAATTTGCTGTCATACTCCATCCGTTCCATATTTCTTAATACATTGAAGAATGAATGAATGTAGACATACGTTATGTCTACATTCATCCATTTCTCAATGTATCAAGGAAGTGTTAATAGACAGCTAATTTTGAACGGAGGGAGCATGACGTATCCATGGCGGCATTTACGTGTAAATGTCTAAAAATTTCACTTATACAGTTTTACCCATTAACATATTGTTATACTGAAAAGGGACCTGCGCGTGAAAAGTTAGCAGCTGCTCGGGATGCTAGAGCTCTAACCTTCGCAATCAAGGATCTCGAAGTTAAGCTTGGGCCTTTAGAAGAAGTGAAACCAAGTGTGGATGAAGAAAAGTTAACAGCCAATGAAGAAGACCTTAGAGCTTCATCAGTTAGTAATGCTAAAAATGCTTCAGTCTTGCCTTTAGAGAATGAGGGTGCTGCCCAGAAACATCCTGGTACAGAAGACAAGATCACTGATATGTCTGCCAATAGAGATGAGCCGAGTGCCTCTACGGATGAAGCAAAGCCAGAGGAGTCAATCCCCAAAGGTCAGTATCCTCTTGAGGAGACCACTAAAAATGAGGAACACACACTTGAGAAAGAAAAGGAGTCGATTTTACCCCTGAAAGAAGAAAAGCTTGAAGAACAATCCGGGTTGAACTAGATCATCCGAAACTCCCTAGCATCGTACAGCTCTTAAAACGCCACATCTAAAAGGAAAAACAGTGCATTTATAGATTCTTTTCAATGCCCTATGGACTTGGACATACATATAGCATATAGTGAGTAGTGACAAACACATAAACCTAATTTTCCTCAAATGCCATTCTTTGGAGAATCAGAGAGAGGCATAACTTGGTAATCTCAGAACTCTTGACATGCTGTAGAGGCTTTGACCTGTGGGTTTTTACTCTTTAGCTTCCCTCCCAAACATACTCCACATGTCTTTGTAAACATTCTTTGTCCAGTTATTGGACACAAAATTCTTAAATTTGCCTTGTTTGAATTCATCAGTTTTTCCCCCCTTCCCTTTTGAGTTTGTTTGTATTGATTGAAAAGATAGTCAATGCTGGGATAGTCTTGTTGTAATTTTGCCTTATTTATGATTCGGTTTGTCCTGCAGTTTGGACTTTGAAATGACATTATTTGTGCTCATATTCCCGCGCTATTCACTACATTGAAAGTATATATAGCCCTTGTGTATTTAAGATTGGAAATTTGATAACAAAAAATATACTCCCTCCGGCCCTATTTCATTTTCTTAGTTGCTATTATTTGAAGATTTTATTTCATATTTTTTATGAGCTAATTTTTAGACTTATTTAGTTTTACAAGACCGAATACATACAATAATTACTTTGTACATCGAAGTATAAAATAAGTGCGAACCAGAAAAAAAATATTCATTTATGAAAGGTGAAATTGTGTGATTGATATTTGTATAGAACAAAAAGAATTGATGCGAATCATTTTTTTTGGAAATGAAAAAATTAATTAAGAAAATTCAAAAAAGGAAATTGGCTACTCCACTATTCACTAATCAACTTTTTTTATAATTATTTGATACTCCTTCCGTTTCTTAAAACCCTTTCTCTTTCTTTTTTTTTGTTTTTCTTAAAACACTTCCCTTTTCTATTAAAAAATCACTTTTACCCCTATTTTTTCATATCATACCTATCACATCATACTTTTTTACTAACAACTAAACTATCACATCTTACTTTTACCCATCACATCAAGGGCAAAATTGGAAAGTCAACTACAATTTAACACTTCTTATTTTTTCCCAAAGTCAAAAGAGGAACCCTTTTGAGGAATGGAGGGAGTAATTTTTTAGAGTAAATTCTATAATTAGTCCTTTATAACAGGGGGTTTCCATATTTAGTCCTCTATTATCAAATATTACTCAAGTGGTCCTTCTTTTATGGGTACCTTTCCACAAATAGTCCTTTTTTTGATCTTCTATCATGTTGGTGTTAATTTTAGGGCTAAAAATGTAATTTCACAATGATAATATATCTTTTTTGTCATACACAATTCCAAAGGTTGTTCCGTTTGTGTCGTTTATGAATTACAGTCGCTTTTTACGACAACTATAGTATACAAACATAATTCTGAAAAAGATAAACATTAAACATTTAAAATTATTTTTGCAATGAGATTAAAGATGGTAGATTAAAAATTCAAAGTTATACTTGGATATTGTAGTATTCTCCATTGTTTATATAGAATATCAGCTGAGAGATATGTCCAACACTTGTCCCTTAATGGTCGAATTATAATATTCGTATTTGTGAAATATCAAACGAAAGGATAATTTTAGGATGAAGAGACTCAAGATCTTTTAATAAATTACTCCATCCGTCACAATTTCAATCACCTGTTTGGGTTTACAATGTATGACTTATGTTATTTTCAAATCATTTTATTTGAAAAAAATGTAGAATTAAAAAACAAAAATTACATATTTTACAACTACATGAAAAGATCTACAAAAGTAATGGCGACATGACCATATTATTGGATCAAATTATTCTAGCAAATAATAAAAGAAAGTGAATGAAGTTTGATCATGAGAATAGTTCACATGCAATTTCATTTGAGACGGAGGGAGTAAATCATGTTCATATAATTCATCCACGTTTTCTGGCCCGGTAAATACTAAACCCATAAATATAATTACTCCGTCCTTGAGTATTTGTCCACATTTGAATTTTTTCTATCAAAATTGTTAAACTTTGACCTTAAGATTATAAAAATAGTATTAAATATTGATACAAAAATAATTTTATTAGTTTTATTATTTCAAATATTATCAAAATATTATTTTATCTAATTAATATACAATAATTATTTTACTTAATTAAAGATCAACAGTTAAAAATACTTGACCAAAAAAAGTCAAAGTTAAACAAAAACTTATGGACTGAAATCATTGCAAGGGATGAGACTTGTCCTAAATTCTAATCCTAATTCTAAATCCTCATCCTAATCCTTAATTGATTATTGTATTGTGGGATTCCCGCATTGCTCTTCGTCCTAAATCCTAATCCAGATCGGAGTAGAAAGCGCGTCAACATCATGGGTGCGTATATATGAAATCCAAAATCATTCACAAATCATCAGAATCCCTTACGGAGTTACGGTAGTCTCTCTAGAAACCCTAAATTCACAGTCATGGCTGACACGATGACACTCCGAATCCTCGGTAGTCTCACTAGAAATCCTAAATTCACAGTCATGGCGCACACGATCACCCTCCGCGCTGACCTCCGGCGGATGTATTTGAACAAACTCCACTTGGTCAACAATGAAGATGATCGTAACTTGCGTTACGCCTTCTACTTTGGCGGTATGCATAATTCTTATTATCAACGTATTTTTCGTATTTTATCTTGTTTGATTGGTTTTGCTCTAGGGGTGGTCAATTGATTGATGATTTTAGGATATCTTCGGTCTCTATTGTGATTTTACTTGCTTCTCCGAGCTAGATTTTTGTGTAATGCTTTGTTGTTTGTACGGTTATAGTCTTTACAGCACTGAGTTGTACATAACCGAGTTAGGAGTAGTTATGTATGTATGTATGTTTCGAAAGCCCTTTGATTTGCTTTCTAATTTTTTTGGCGTTATTATATGTTGCAGATGATGTCGTTTTTAATCTGGTCAGAACATGGGAGAAAACCTTGTTGGCTGCGAGGGCCGTAGTTGCAATCGATGATCCTAAGGACATTGTTGTCCTTTCCGCTAGACCATTTGCTCATAAGGCTGTCTCAAAATTTGCTGAAGTAATTGGTGCTACTGTCATTGCAGATGGACGTCGCAGTCCCAAGACTTTTGCTCAACGACTCCATGATTCATCCCTTAAGCCTTGCCTCTTAATCGTTGCTGATCCAACAACTGATCGCCTGGCTATCCAAGAAGCATTCCTGGCTGACCTCAACATCCCTGTCATTGCATTGTGTGGCAGTGATTCCTCATTCCGCCATGTTGACATTGCTATTCCTGCAAACAACAAGTCAAAGCAAAGCATTGGTTATGTTTTCTGGCTTTTTGCAAGGATGGTTCTTCAGATTCGTGGAGAAATTCCACAAGGACACATGTGGCCTGATGTTCCGGTTGAACAATTTGTGTGTGACGATAGACTTGAGGAGCAACCTGAAGAGGAGGAGAAAGTACCTGAACTGGAATTGTTACCGGTGCCAGACTTGCAGCTTCCATGGCCATGCGGGCCGCGGGATAATGGAGGTATATTCTTTTTTGTCATGGCTTGTGTTGATTATTTCCAAAGTTTTAGCTGTAAGTAATGGTCTCCCTCTCTTCTTTTTTTTTGGATGGCTGCATATAAAGACAACCCCCCACCTGCTTCATGGGCAACTACTGTTTGTCCAGGAGGTTTGTGCCCTGCTCTCGTATATATAGAATCTATCATGCTTCATGATTGTTGCAAAGTTTTAGTTAAGATTAGCTCTGAATCCCTGTGATAGAACGTAACACTACAAGAAATAAAGCCAGGAATGACATATTTTTGAATCATTTATGACATTTAAAAGTGTTGTTAGAATAGATATTGACACTTTTTAAAAGTGTCATCGTTTTCTATTTCACAAAATTAAAGTATGACACATCAATCGTCATTAATGTTTATGGTACTTATAAGTGTCGCCAAGAATATTGGGTGTTCTTTTTAAAGCAACAAGAATTTTACATTATGACACTTCTAGTTATCAAAAAGTTTTATGACATTTTTAAGCATCATAAAGAGTCTTTATTAATTTAAATGGCATGACACTCTCATTAAGTGTCATAAAAAAGTGTCATTACTGGTTTTTTTGTAGTGTAAGTTGTTGGGGTCCAACCATATAATTGTTACGGAGTATACTCTTTCATGTAATAGGTTGAGGATGGTGTGTATAGTTATTACTGTTGTAGTCACGATGTTTCATTGATGAGTTTGGCCTTCATTTTGTTTTTTTTTTTGGGTTTTTACGTTTTGCATTTTGTTGCTAAGGCTGGAAATGCATGGGAACATCATTTATTTAATTTGTTGTTGGCCAACCAATTACAGAACATGTGCTAACCTGGCTGCTCGTGCAGATAGCGAAGCTGAATTGGACCCTGAAGAATACCATGGAACAACCAATATTGAAGAAGAGGAGGACCACCTTGGGCATGCAGATTGAAATTGTGATTTTGTGAATTGATCTTATGGCTTTGTGAATGTTGTAATAATCTTATGGCTGATTGTAATTGTGGGGATATTGTGGTAATTGCAATCAATACCAGCACTGGTCCCTTTGAACATTTATAATTGTAGTAGTGGTAATCTATGTGGTTTCATGAATAGCACATGAATGATTAGTGTATTTATCTATGTTATGGAATTTGTGATTGTTTATGTGCTTGGCTTTACTGAAGTGATGATGCTCTTTTAGCTACTATATTTACACTATGTTTGGTTCAAGGAATTTGGAAGGAAAAGAAAAGAAAATGGTTTTCTCTCATTTTACTCACTACTATATTGTAGTGATTGTAGTGATTGAAATTGGATCCAATTACGAATTTTAGGGTTTTTTCGAGTAGAAAAATTCATATTCGAGAAGTTACATGCCAAATTAGACAAAATGGTTTGGATATTATTGATCCTCTTCTCAAGACGAAGAGAATGACATTGGTCCCGCCGGAATCGGAAAAAGTTCATTTTCCGGCGACTTTGACCGGCGGGCGGCGGCGGGGCGTGGAAGAAAAGAAAAGAAGAAATGGGGTCAAATTGAAAATTTTAAAATATATAAAATTTGAATTTGGCCCTAATGACCGGAAGTTAACCTAGAAACGGGCTAATGGCTCATTAGTGAAAGGATTGTGTAAGTTCATTGATTTTTGTGAAAGGATTTGAAGTTCAGGTACCACTTCGAAATTCCAGCTAAAGTTCAGGTACTATTTGTGAAATTTACCCCCCTGTTTTTATATACTCCCATTTCCTTTCCCATTTGATTTTTTTCCCCATAATTTTTAAACTTTGACTAGGGTATGCCGTGAAAAAATTATACAGTACAATATTATTTTATAGATGTAATATTGATAGATTTATTTTGCAATAACATTTTAGGATATCATATTTTTAGAAAATACACTTTTATTTTAAAATATTTGCCTAAATTTGACTTTTTAAGATCAATTATAATTACCTTTAACCATAATTGAATATAAATCATATGATATACTAATTAGATAAAACAATATTTTTAAAATATTTTACAATTTAAATATGATATGATTTCTTTTATCAATATCTAATATTAATTTTATTTAAATAATAATCAAAATTAGCCGATTTTAACTGCAAAACGTCAAATTTTGACAAACACTTTAGGACAGAGATGATATCTACATACGGAGTATAAAAATACGTCATATATATTAATAGTCAAAGCGTTGAAAATAACTACTCGTAGTATTTGGGAATGGAAGTAAAATCAGCGTTCTCCCTCAAGTTATTTTTAGTTTCCCTTGCTGAAAGTTCCAAAATATATTTTAGACTAGTTCCTTTCTTTTTAAATAAAAACTACTCACAAGTTTTCTTTGATCCATACAGATTTCAACCATAAATATCATTTTTTTAGGTTGTTTAACACAAGTACATTTATCATATTCTGCTAAAAGTATTTTTTATTGGACGGAGAACTATAAAAATTCATTTGCCTATAAATATTAACAAGTTTTTGCAATAACTAGAATATAATGCAACATTTCTTTCATGCAATGCTCGCAATATTATGAGCTTTAAATTTTAATACTATAACTCAATATAATCTTAATCTCGTCAAAATTTAAGATCTAACATATAAAAAATTTTAACATTCTGAAAACAAATACTGTTTTTAAATCCTTGATGGATTTACTTTCGGGTGAAAATTTAATGTCATTTTTGTTTAGTCTACACCAAACTATTTGGTGGAATAAAATTGGTGAATGCCACCTAATATTTTCTCCTTAGACTATTAGGTGGTCTAGGATCCAAATATTACTATCTGAGCCTTATAATAGTAACAGACTAAAAAGAAAAGAGTAATGAATCGCTAGAAAATAGATAGCAAACAATGGATTAACTCAAATCGGGGTCCATTTCTTTATTCGGTCCAATTATGTATCAGAATACTCTACAGGACCACCGGAATATTCTCTTTTATTACTTAAATCTCTCTCTCTCTCTCTCTCAGTTACAAGTTGCCTTTGCTGACTAAACTCTTCTTTCTTTTATAGGAGCTTTCCCAGCCACCATCTCATCAAGATATCCGCGGTGGTTCTGGGCAAAGTGTTATGGATAGTAGAGTATGATATTTAATAATAATAATATTATTATTATTATTACTATTGTAATGTAAATTTTATTAGCTGAGCGAAATTATAAGTTACTTCGAGGTTTATTTACGGTTCTTTCCCTCATCGCTTTTATTGAACCGTCAGGTTAGCGTTAGAGTTTCCTTCTTCCCAATATAAAGAGATGTAACCCTATTTAGAGTTAATCAAGCAATAAACAAATCAAACACTAGTTCTGTCTCCTCTCTCGGTTCGCCGGTTTTCTTCGTCTCAATTCTTCTTCTTCTTCTTCTTCTTTCTCATCCTATATTCTCACGAGCTTGAAGACGCTCTAAGTCTTCCTTATCTTATACGAGTTCGTATCACAATCCTTCACTTTCCTAGAAATCCTTCTCTTAGCTTAAAGTTATTCACTTAGGGACAAATCAGTCCATCTGACCAATATTTCATGTCCACTCTGTCTCCAATAATGACTTGGTAGTGGGTCTCTTTCCTTGACCCGATCTTAATGGGCTGGAGGTCCAGCCCAACTCTCAATCAAGTCCCATCTTAGCTTTTATCCATGGTCCATTTCTTTAGTAGGATCGGTTCTCTCTTACCGACCCATGGAAGATATAGAGAATAAAGAAGTGTTCCATACTCTATAACAAAAGTGCTAAGACTCAAAAAAAGGATTTAGAAAACCTTTACATTTTCAAAACTTGACTTGATATCATGAGCAACTTGTTAACTACTCCAAAGCACCATCAAAAGAACCATAACATGTTTGTAATTATTAAAACACAAGGGTCAACAAATCATTCTTTTTTATATGCATTTTTTATTTCACAAAATTCAATCATAAACAATGAATATTTATTTTTTCTAAAATTCGTAAAGTATAAATCAGTTAAATATATTGTATTCGTAAGAGTCATTCTCCCTATTTTTCAGCAAGAAGATGACAGGGACGGGCCTGTTTGGGAATAACGTTAGCGATTATCGTTAGCGTTTTGAAAAGGCTATCTACGGGCAGCGTTTAGCGTTAGGTTTTCAAAGTAATCTGCACCGTTAAAATTATATCCAAAACGTTAACGCTAATCACTAAAGCTATTCCCAAACAGCCCCGACGCCACTCATGGTGATGTCTTAGTTGTGAAGATCGAAATCAATGTTTGTGGGTAATGTTTTTGAATTTGGCATTTTTTGGGTAACATTATATATCATAAAGCAAACAACACATATTAAACACCAATCATACATTCTCAAGCACCTCCTTATAAACTACTTGCAGTATTTGTCTAAAATCACCACCAAAAACAATTATTTACATATTATTATTTTTAATCCCTTGCGAGACCATACCCTAAACATGGCCATATACAGCTGTCCGTGACTAAAAATAGGTTTTTTCAAGAATAAACCAACATGAGAGAGAGACTGTCCCTGACCTTTGTTTATGGTCATCGCATACGATACCATAACCGGAAATTGTCTTCTTCGAAACTTAAATGGCAATCTGGTATCTGATGGAGCCAATGAAACTCGCGGTATTAAAAGCATTTGTCCTATATTTTTCCCATGAATCATCTTTGCTTCTAATTGACGATTGCCAAGTCTTGTAACAATTAAACGCGTTCCGTTGCACAGACCATTACCATAATTAATGTTGCGCAAAAGCATGATCGGAGTGGCAATTTTTAGTGTTAGTTCATGGTTTGGAATTCCTGAAGATCTAATCAAGTTCAAATACTCCGTGGTGTGTAAATCCTCAACTAAAGAAACATTCATGTCAAAGCACTATCAGCACTCAAGTATTGATCCAACAACTTCAAGTGTTGGAGCTAAAATTGCTCTTTCTTGTAGTAAACTATCTTCACCAAAATTTGTTACAAATGCTGGGTAAATAGTTTCCACCATTTTTCCTATAGGATTATTCCCTAGCTCGACTAGTAAATCTGATGGAATTTCAATATCTGCACAACCATCATTTGGGCCACCAACCTTTCCATCTCCAAAATATGCTATCCAATTGGTGAAATGTTAGATTTCTGCGCTTTCACTGTTCTTTCCATTTGAAACTCTCATATGCTTGGTAAGTCTCAAGACCTTGCAATCAGACCACAAGTATGAAGAATTAATAGTGGCTAAAACAATATCTTGCCTAGTACCTTTGGAAATTACCGGTAGTATGTCTAAAATAAGTAAATAACCACCAAAAACAATTGTTTTCCCTCCAAATGGTTTGATCTGGCTATCTTCATTGACCACACACATTATATTGCGTATAGTTCTATCCTACGCTTCAAAACAATGTTTATGCATCATAGGCGCCTCATCCCAAATAATTAATTTGCAATGAATTAACAATTGGGCTAAAGGGCTTCCTTAGGTATTTTTGCACATGATATCCTCGTTAACAATGATAGGGATTTTAAAATGTGAATGCGCTGTTCTTCCACCAGGCAATAATAGAGAAGCTATACCACTTGATGCAACATTTCATACTATGTCACCTTTCGATCTAATTGCCACCGATAATGTTTTCTAAATGAATGTCTTACATGTTCCTCCATATCCATAAACAAAAAACATTCTACCAATGTTCTTTTCAACTACTTCAATGACAGAGGAATACACATTTACTTCTAATTTCGCTCTCAAACCCATCAAGGAGTACTCGGGGTAATATCTTTAACATATTGGGCTAGCCCAATAAGGAGTATCTTAACATATTGGGCCAACATTTTGGCAGACCCAATTAGCTCTTTCTACGCTTACTGCTAGTCTGCTACCCATATCCGCGGGGCCGCCATCGTCACTCTTCTCTGCTTCTTCGATTTCATCCCCTCCACAACGATGCTCTCTCGCTTCCTCTGCAGACCATCTCACCTGAGATTCATCATCTCCCGCAATACCCATTTCCTGAACCCCAAAATCCCTTCTCCCCACGCTCCGATTTCTTCTTCCGTACCCGTCTTCTTCCCCAAGAACCCCCATTTCTTTTCTACAAGTAACAATGGCGGAGGTTCTGATTCATGGAATCTATCTTCCTCCGATACCCCATCCATGTTTCCGGAAGACATCGAGATATCAGAAACATTGCCCAGAGACGAGAGCCCCTTGTTCAGGGATCTGGAGGAGCCGGAGAAGGGTACCGCGGTGGCCGGAGGTGGATTTGTAAAGGGTTTCAGTCCATGGACAACCGAGGAGGATGAAGATGCCAAGAATGTGTTTGAAATATTGGATGAAGAAGACGAAAAAGGAAAGTGGGAGGTGGGGAGCAAGGGCGGCAGGGGTGAGAATGGCGAATGGGAAACTGCGGCGGGTTACAAGCCCTGGAGCGCATCTGTGGAGGAGGATGGAGAAACCGTCTTTGATGTAGTAGAAGAAGAAGAGAAGATGGCGGGTCTTGATTTCAGTGCCGAGGAGGAGAGGTTGCAGAAGGAGAAGCTCGAGGAAGAACAGAGACTTGAGCTGGAAGAGAAAGCTCTCACTGTTGTTCTCAAAGGTCATTCATTTACTTTCTTTCTGATATTATTTCACTCAATGAATCAAATCATAAGTGTTTTAGGTATGTATTGAGTATTTGAGTTGTGTCATTTTTATACAACAACAACAATAATGTCCCCTAAAGGCTACCTTTTGCTTGACCCTATGTTCTATAATGGCTTTGGTTTTTCTACTAGCTTCACATCTTCTTTGGCACAAATTCTTCCATAAGCTTACTTCTCTAATGTGTTCTTCATGTCCTCAAAGACATGTCATATGAGTATTAAGAATGCCAAGTGTGTTTCTGTTGCAGGTCCGAACCGTGCATTTGGTGATCTAATTGCGGCTTCTGGAATCACCGAAGAAATGTTAGATAGTCTTATGACCTTGAAAGACCTTGGAGACATCAAAGGATTGCCGCCTCTACACGAAATAGAAGACATGCGTTATGAGAGGAGCATGAGCAGATCCAGCAGAGCAGAAATGGAGCGTCAGAAACAAGAGGAAGTTGCAAAGGCAAGAGTGAGACAAGTAGATGAGAAGGGGAGGGCTTATGGGACAGGAAAGAGAAAATGCAGCATTGCCCGTGTTTGGATTGAACCCGGCAATGGAAAATTTATTGTGAATGATAAAGAGTTTGATGTGTACTTTCNTCACTGTTGTTCTCAAAGGTCATTCATTTACTTTCTTTCTGATATTATTTCACTCAATTAATCAAATTATAAGTGTTTTAGGTATGTATTGAGTATTTGAGTTGTGTCATTTTTATACAACAACAACAACAACAATAATGTCCCCTAAAGGCTACCTTTTGCTTGACCCTATGTCCTATAATGGCTTTGGTTTTACTACTAGCTTCACATCTCCTTTGGTACAAATGCTTCCATAAGCTTACTTCTCTATTGTGTTCTTCATGTCCTCAAAGACATGTCATATGAGTATTAAGAAGGCCAAGTATGTTTCTGTTGCAGGTCCGAACCGTGCATTTGGTGATCTAATTGCGGCTTCTGGAATCACTGAAGAAATGTTAGATAGTCTTATGACTTTGAAAGACCTTGGAGACATCAAAGGATTGCCGCCTCTACACGAAATAGAAGACATGCGTTATGAGAGGAGCATGAGCAGATCCAGCAGAGCAGAAATGGAGCGTCAGAAACAAGAGGAAGTTGCAAAGGCAAGAGTGAGACAAGTAGATGAGAAGGGGAGGGCTTATGGGACAGGAAAGAGAAAATGCAGCATTGCCCGTGTTTGGATTGAACCCGGCAATGGAAAATTTATTGTGAATGATAAAGAGTTTGATGTGTACTTTCCAATGCTTGATCATCGCGCCAACCTTCTCCGGCCTTTCTCTGAAACTACAACACTGGGTATGTGGGATGTCAGGTGTACTGTTAAAGGAGGTGGTGTATCAGGTCAGTTGCTGATTCATGTATTTCTTGCATATGGAGTATAATTCATTTGTTTTATTAACTTATTTGTCATATATATCTTACTTGTATCTTTTTGTTGGTTAGTTACATGAAAATTATATTCATTTGATCTAATATGCTCCTTGCTTGACAATAAAAAACTTTTGAAAAATGACTCTTTTTTTGACATAGTAAAAGATTAGTTAGTTTATTTCCCACTATAGTTTATGGGTCATGCTACGGTAACACCAGAAATGACACCTAGGTTAACACTTTCACTGTTCCACGAACAATGATTTCTCATAGACAATGTGGGCGATTGTCTGATTTGTCTCTGGTCGTGTCATGTGGTGGTCAGTGGAGGATGACTGTGCATGGTTGTCTCTAGTGGTGTCATCTTTGGGGTTAAAGCAACATTCCTCAATGTCTGTAGCGTGCTCTTCTTTTCTAATTATTGGTTATGAAATATCTGGGTAGAAAACAAGTATGAAGTAGCACTGTCTAGCAGTGTATGTAATGCGTTTATGACTATGGTAATCAAATAGTTCTACACTTGGCATAAGTGTGTATTGTATTTCAATTTATTTGGATATCAAAATGGTATTTTAGGAAAAAAAAGTAAATGTGAATTGATTGCTAGATATTAATTCTGTCTCTTTTCTCTTCAATGATATGCTGAACTGCATTGTACATCTTCATAGTTCATACCCATTGCACAAATCTGCTATGTGCCCGTTTGGCAACAACTTCATTGTTTAGCTTTATCGTTTTCAAAGTTAATCTGCTGCATTGAAAAATTATCCCAATCGCTAATTGAAGACGTATTTAACCGTTTTGAGAGTTTTAGGCATTCATTATAAGGTAAAAGAGCCTTATTAACAATGTTTTAGCTTCACATAAATAGTAAACTAGATGAAAAGGGTACATTAAACTTCATTTGCTTCCCTTTTGTGTTAACCTTCCAAGAGGTACTAAAGTACTGTGTGAAACAGGTCAAGCTGGTGCAATTCAGCTGGGCATCAGTAGGGCCTTGCAAAACTGGGACCCAGAGTTGCGTCGCCCTCTCAGAGAAGGTAACTTTATTTTCTCTTCTTTTACCTTATATATAATTTTATGAAACTCTCCATAGAAAGGTAATAACTCTATTGATTGCCATCCTTAATTTGACTAGGATTCAATGTTGTTTTGAATGAAAGTAAACAGCTCGTATTCTAACATGTTTAAGCCTATGTATTGCATTATTTTTTGTTCTAGTTGATTTCATATGAAACGACCGTGTATAAAAAAATTGTTTTTTAAGAATAATCCCACGTAGTATACACATAGTATATATGTGTATAGACATGCTATGTCAATTAAATTCTATTATTCTTTTGCAGCTGGTTTCTTGACAAGAGACTCGAGAGTGGTCGAAAGGAAAAAGCCTGGCAGAGCAAAAGCAAGAAAGAGCTTCCAATGGGTCAAACGTTGAGCTATTACAGATTCTTGTCAATGCATTGATCTCGGGAGGGCATTTTTGGTATTTTTACTGATTTCTTATATGGAAGTAATCACTTTGACTTGAGAAAATTGACTGGTTTCAATTCAAAGGAGATGTTCAGGTGAAAGTTGGTAATGTGATTAGATGATTAGATTAGACATATTGATGGAACAGTTATGTTTTTTTTGTTTTCAAATATGAAACAAATAAGGCTTGCAATTTTCTAAATTAAGGTTTGTATCTTGTATTCTTGTCTCCCATATTAATTGACAATGCCAACCAGAAGTATGACTTGCTGTTCTTAAGTTGGATTCGTTGAAGTCACGCGTGACACATTTTGACCTTTCCCCGAGATTTGACACGTAAGTTAGATTTTGAATGAGGGTTTTGCGACATGAAGAAATTAGTTTTAAAATGTTCAAATCAGATTGAGCTATTGAAGTAAGAGTATTTTTTCCCCCAAGTAATGCACTTCCATTTTATGTTTTCTTTTTTCATTTTTACTTTTCTTGTAATGATGTTCTTTTTTCATTTTTTTTCAAATAAAAAGCTCTGTTCCTATGAAAATTATGAATAAATTTCAGTCACTCAGTTTTCTACCTTTTCTATTTGTTGCCGTGTTGGTTGTTTTTCTGCAAAAAAAAAAAAATCGAAAATCCAAGGGTGCACTTTTTTAGAGTAATATTTTTGCATTAATAGTTCTACACATTATCCTGGGAACTACTTACAGTAACATTTTCCAAGTAAAATTTATCCTTCCCAAGATTTCTTCTCACAAATGTAATCTTATGTAATCCAAATGTATACAGTATAACAAACTTAAAATCTTTATTAAAGGATGAGCCTCATCCTCGAAGACCCCCTCAGATTTGGCCAGAAGTAAATTGGACTTTAATAATAGATTGGTAGTAAAAAGTGAAGTCTGCACTTGGTACTTGCAGAGACCTTATATTTATGAAAGTTACCGACATTGCTGTTTCACAAGCAAGCACAATTCAAAAATGAGCACAACATATTTTCTAACATTTGTCTACAATCCTTGTCATCAAAGAAATAACAAAATTTGCTTAACATAAAACTAGCATTGACCAACCTTGAAAAGCTTACAAGAGTATATTCAGTATATTCACAAAGTTTTAATGGATATTGAAAATGTAATATTTCAGCCTTATTATAGTGTGACATACTACGTGGGATATATTTGATTTCTGAAAAATTAAAATAAAAAAGTTTTTATGGGGCATGAGAGTAAATTATGATACTAAAAAATTTGAATTTCCAAAATAGTTATTTCGAATGATTTGTTTTTCAAAATTAGTTATAATTACTTATATGATACCTTATAATTAAGATTTTGCTAAGTAGTCCTTTGTAAAAAAATATCACTAAAATGATGATTAATTGGAGAGTATTTTAGTACTTTTATTATCCAGACTTACTGTAGTTAAAACACTTCATTTAAAATGATCATTTTGAGAACTTATTCTAAGTTTAGATAATTAAAAATAATAAAAAACCTTACACTTAATCGAAACTTATGTAATTTTTTCTAAAGAGGACTATACGGCACATAAATCCCAATTATAAATTATTACGTAGGTAATTAAGATCATTATGAAAAATTCCTTACTGGAAAATGCTAGAGTCACAAACAAATATTTCACACACTTTACAAATTTGTCTTTTGTAGCTTTTAAATTAAATTATCTTTTATTATTTGAGTGCATTTAAATTCATTGTTAAAATAACTAGTTTGTAAATTTTGTGAACTGTTTGTTTGTGACTCTAGCATTATATTTACTTTAATATTGGGCCAACTCTCTTTACAAACAAGTCCGACATTTTGACGCAGGCCCAGTTAGCAGGTGTTTGTACGTTTCCTCTACTTTCCTCCTACCCGCCCATATCTAGCAAGCATTTTCATTAGACTCAACCCTCTCTCTCTACCATTCCCGATCTTCCACATTCATTCAGGTAATTCCATTTTCTGCACTTCGAACATGCTTCTTCATCCTTTTCTGCTGCGATTTCATCCCATATCTAATATTATCGAACTTTAATTCATGCTTGTTTCTTCATCGAACGCAATTTTTAGCTTTTTTTTCCTTTCACCGGTGATTTCTTAGATCTACGGTCAAAATATTCGAATCTGTAACGAAGGTCTGTAGATCTTCTATCAGCGCTTCATCTGTTTCCCACATGTTATGTTCATGTTTTAGATAAGTTCTCGTGTCCCGATGTTTGGTACGATCGGTGTATTTTTAATTACTCCGTATTTTTTATTTACAGAAAATTGTTGTCGATGTTTTATTGATCTATGTTTCGTTTCTGGGCTACAAAAGGATAGATATGATGCCGTAATCGTTTATGGTTTTCTGTTTGAACTTTAAAATGTTGAGCTTTGATTAAGAAATGGATCTGCTCTTATCTTTTTTTTCTTGGATTAACACTTTATTTGGGAAGAGATAACCTGAGGGAGGTGAAGGTGATGAAGTTTAAGGCTCAAATTGTGCCTACTTCTTGTAGGCTTAGCAGTTCTAATCTCTTACTTCTTATATTTGTTACTTTTGGATCGGTGGGCAACTAAAGCATACTAATACTCCCTGTCCTAGTTTATTCTTTGAAAGTTTTTTACAGAATAAATCTAATGAATTCATTTTTTGTGCCGATATGCATTGCAATTTTTGTTTAATTGATGATCAAAGTTTGTCCAATTGTAAGGCGAAAAGTCACTCCCGAGAGATACTCGGACAAAGGGAGTACCTCATATGTACATACTCGCATTTACAGATTTACCTCATTACGAGTTAAACAATTGGTTATGTACTGGTAACTCTATAGAACTACCTCAAACCACCTACCTTACATTAAGTTGCATGCTTTTCTTAATTGAACCCCTGCTGAACATGTGGTAGAAAATCTGTTTGCTCAAGGGAAGTAACATCTGGTATACTTTAATTTTCGTTTTTCGCCTCCTGTATGAAATTAAGAGGTGACTCAGTTTTAAGATGCATAAAATGAGACACTCTTCTATCATGATTCAATGTAGTTAGAAAAATCATTGATCCTTGTTGGGTTTGTCCCATTCCATTTTTTATTGGATTTTGAACTTGGTAAACTGAGAAGTCTACTTTCTTTAACCGTTGCTCTTTGGCTGAATTTGAGTTTCACCTCTGGTAATCTAATTTCTGTGTAGCTTTTCATCAGCAGAGCCAAGCAAAGCAAAGTGATGGCGGGGCACGTGGCACATGTTGTGTACAAGGGTCCAAGTGTGGTGAAGGAAATTATCATTGGGATTAGCCTCGGGCTTGTTGCGGGAGGCTTCTGGAAAATGCACCACTGGAACACTCAGAGGAGAACAAAGGAGTTCTATGACATGCTTGAGAAGGGTCAGATAAGTGTTGTCCACGATGAGGAATAGATGCTAATGTGACCTAAAAAGAATTCTGAACATCGTTTTGTTTACTATTATGCGACGAATGTATGCATGAAAAGCAAACTACTATATAAAAGACTAAATGTTTATTGGTATATTGCATTGTATTAATGGGGCAGGGAACCCTTTAGCCATTCTTCTTTGCAGAATAATTCTTGAAAACTTTTTGTTGGATTGAGCTTGAAGGAAGATAATGTTGTTTTGGAATCATCTGACTATCGTGTTTTAATGCTTGCTTGTTTTTTTACCTCCAATATCTTTGTTTCCTTGAGAAGCAATTTAGGGTACATTTATCCTATCTTCAACCTATGTATGTCAAGGCAAATGTTGAGGCAATCTGCTGCAAATGTTACTCTACGACCCAAAATTGTGTTTTTTTTCCTCCATTCCAAAATTAAATTTTAGGTGTATTATCTTCTTTAGGGAGAATTGTTTTCTCTCCCGCGTGAATTTTTCTTTTGCAATTGACACTTTGGGACTTTTTCCCTTTAATTTAGTTTTGGGTTGTCAATGTTAAGCTATTTGTACATCAAAATTGGTATCCCAAAGATATGCATTGACATTTTGTAATACTGTGATGATTTATATTTACAAAAAATGTTAGTGTAATTTTTTTTAACTGAACTAACATTTTTTATCAATACGAGTCGTTAAAATGTCAGTGTATTTTTTTGTGGTACAACTTGGAGTGTACCTCTAGCATGGTTGATAACCATGCTACAATAAGCCATCAAACAAAAGACGAGGCGGCTGAAAACCGAAGACATTCCAAAGTTTAATATAAATTACTTTTTTTGTCCTAACTTAAATTGGATATTTTAGTTTATGTTATTGATTGAAGTTATTTTAAAATCATTTATAACGGAGCTCAATTTAAAATTCATATAACTTCCCTTGTCATGTGAAATAATTTTAAAATTAAAATGAATGAATTGAAATAAAATATACTCTGTAATTCTCAAATACCATAGTTTAAAATAAAGTTAATTTGCATGAATAAATTAATCTTAGTTTTTTTTGTTAACAGAATTGAAAAAAAGAAGCCTATTCTAAGATGAAAGGGGTATTCATCAACCCATTAACATGGAAAATAAAAGAAAATAAAATAGACATATGCAGCAGACATTTTTTTTTTGAAGGAACATTTGGTTTTTATCCAATGAGTTACTCCGTATAACAATGCTTTTTTAACCTTGTGCGCTAATGGGTTGATTACCAAAAACGTCAACAAGAAATTGCATTGACTTGTTTGGTTCACCTGGCCACTCGTCTGTCGTCATAGTCCGCCGGCAGGATGGACTTCGGCGCCGAATCGCCGCCGCCATTTCTCTCGACGGGAGTAACGCCGGGGGAAAAAATATACAGAGCAGTCTCGTCAGTCTACAATTCTCTACCGAAGAAAGGAAAGCCTCAAGGCCGGGAAGTCACCGTGTTGGCTGCCTTTCTCATTTCTTCTCCACATCGCGGTAAATCCGAATTAAAATCTTGAAATTCATCGTCTGTCTGAATACATTCGCCTCGTATGTGCTGTAATTTCTTCATCGGTTTCAGAACTGGACGTTGTTTCGCTTGGAACTGGGACGAAATGCATTGGGCGCTCTCGCCTGAGTTCAAATGGCGACGTTGTTAACGACTCTCACGCTGAAATTGTAGCCAGAAGAGCTCTTATGAGGTTTAAGTTTGATTTTTTTTTCAATATAAAGAATTCCAAATACCATGTCGTGAACTCGTGATGATTAATAAAGTTTAGTTCCTTATTTCTGATTTTTTGAATAAATTTCCCGAACGCTCATTCAGTGAATCTCATCCCAAAATATCAGCTTTTATAAGTTCTTTACTTCTTCCATAGCACATCTTGGAGGTAGCAGGAGGTTTATGCCCACAATGTATGATGTATTTTGTTGAATAAATAAATGGAGCTCATAAATATCGCCTGAATCATATCAGGTATTTATATGCAGAGGTTAAGCGTCTTACTGATGGTTATCATAGTCATACATGCAACCCTGGGATGGAAATAGGGAATGGTGTTGGCGACCAAAACTCTCTGTTCAATTCAATAAGAGATGATTCTGGAAGAAGACGATTGGTGATGAAGCCGGGTTGGGAATTACATCTGTACATATCACAATTTCCGTGTAGGTACTCTTTTCTAATATCTTTTGCTTTTGGTTGGAAAAGATAATTTTTTTGTTTGCACTCATCTTTCTTTTTGACCACTTCATTTCTTTGTAGGCGGAGAAGCCTCACCGAGTTCAGAACTTGCTCACCTAAGAGAGAGTCATTCAATGACTGACAATCACCATTATTCCCCATTAGAGCTCAATGGAACAGTTGAAGGTATTAGTTCTGCATCACTTTGAGTGTTGTCATAATTTTTTACCATCCACTTTTATCTTCTAAAGGTGTTGCTGGTTTCCTCATTTTTACCACCACTTTGGGCTGTTTACGTATTAATTGGTTAAGCTATTAGTATCATCAAGAATGGTGCACGAAATCCACAAATCCAGTGACGTGCTTCTGTAACTTCATCATTTCTAGTTTTTTTAGTGTCATACTGAATGCCCCTTCATGTTTATATCATCTATGCGCCGCATGTAACCAAGTCAAATTTTGGTAGCTTTTTGTTCTAGCATATCAATGCCCATTTCACTCTTACACGTTCTAGTGTTGTTAGAAGAATGTATAGTGATAAAAAGGACTTCATAATCAGACTAGACTACTTATTTTCATTTCTCTTTTTCAGGAGAACATTCAATGGTTATTGGCACAGTTTTGAGGAAGCCAGGTCGTGGAAATACGACTTTGTCAGTCAGCTGCTCTGATAAGATTGCCCGGTGGAATGTTGTTGGAGTTCAAGGTTTCTCACACACTCTTTCTTTTTTGGAACTAAAAACCTATTTGATTCAATGTGTTTTGGTTAGATGATTTTAAACTAGTATGTCGTCCCAATCACCTCTGTGTTGGTCGAAAGGGGAGTATTGAGTCTATTGACTGTTGAGTATCTCGCATTGATTGGCTTGTGCGTTTGTGTTAATATTTAAGTGTGAGGTAATCCTCACTTCTTAGAATCAATTTAACATGACATCTTCCCTTGATCTTGTCCTTGAGCTTATAATACGTTGGGGAGTGTTTGCCACTTGACGGTTTAGGGCAACTTGATGGAGGTCAGTTCTGATCCATTTGTCCACCCGTCAATTGCTCTGCCTGGTTTGTGTTGATGTGGGGCATGGTAAGTATCACACACAAGTTGTCTGGTGGGTCCAAGTCTACTATTCAAGTGTGTGGGATTTTCTACAGTGATTTTGACCCAATTTAACACCTTTTTTTTTAAAAAAATTAGGAGCACTACTTTCTTACTTCATGGAGCCAGTTTACATTTCTTCAATAACAGTTGGACAATCACCTATAAACTCTGACAATTCCAACATTGAAGAACGAATGAAGAGAGCTGTGTATGACCGGCTTCTACCATTATCATCCAAGATTATGTCTCCCTATGAAGTGAAAAAGGTTTCTTTGGCTTTACCCTACTTAGTCATTCCATATAGATGTACGAAATTACTCGTATTAATTCCTTGTGTACTTGCAGCCAATTTTCATGGTAGCTCCGATTCCGTCAACCGAGTTTCAGCACTCTGAAACTGCCTCAGCCACCTTAACATGTGGGTATGTTTTAGTTCTTTACCCGTTTTTTTCCTTTGAAGGCTGCTAGTTTCGTCTATCTTATAATAATTTTTTTATCCTTGTAAAATCACTGTTAGTATGCCTCTTGAATTGAAGGTACTCCATATGTTGGAACAAGTTGGGTTTGCATGAAGTAATTCTTGGTACCACTGGAAGGAAGCAAGGCACCTCTGCAAAAGGAGCATTCTCTCCATCCACCGAGTCATCTGTGTGCAAGTTAGCCATTCGTAGACTTTTCCTTGCCTACCCTTCACCGTTTTTCTTCAAGATGACAAAATCTTTTTAATGGATTTTCATTATTCATGCAAGCATGGTGTTTGGTTTTGTGGTAAAATACCTTGCAACAATTTTTTTCTTTTATATTCTATCACGACAATCAGATGTGGACCTTGTGCCATCCTAATTTTTTCTGAGTATGTTGAATATTCTCAATATTTCAAATGGCGTGGAATAAATATGTCTTGGCCACACCCCTCTCCCCCCCCCAAAAAAAAACAAAAAGCAAAATTATATGCACATCCCTAATGGTGTTATATATGTTGCAATCACTGATTAGGAAGCGCCTTTTGGAGCTGTTTTGCTCAATTTATCGTGATATGCTGGATCAACATGCTCCGTGTGAAACCTCTTATCAAGAACTAAAGGTAATTTTTACTTCTTCAGTTCTAGTGTTCTACAGGTCCCAATCTACTAATGTCTATCGTAAGTTGTGATGCTCCTAATTATTGTTTATATTGTCATCTAGAGTTCAATATAATTGATCTCACTTGCTCTATACTATGTAAGGGTTATCCAGGTGTGGGCTCCAAAAAGTAGTGGAATAAACAATGTTCTCTAGTTTTCTTTCTTTTTTCTGTTGCAGGGACAAGCTGTGGATTACACTATTGCTTCAAGAACCTTCAAACAGAGCCCTCATTTTAAAAACTGGTTTATGAAACCTTACAACTCTGAGGCCTTCATGCATACTGGACACTAAGGCCAGGTATTCTTAAAAGAAGTTTACCTTCTCTTAACAATGCTATTTAAGGAACCATACTCCTTTCATTGACAATTCGACACTACCGTGGTTAAAATGATCCTAAATCGCATACTCATATCCCAAATCAACTATCCATTTGCTTTTGACATGTGTATTGCAAAAGTCATAGCATGGTTGAGATTTATTCAAAAACAAAATTAAACGATTTCAACCACACAATTATCTCCTTATAAGGAAATAAGATGTATATTTTGCGGCAACTCAAAAAGTAATGTTGGAAGTTTGTTTTGGAACGAATGGAGTAATATTTATGTGGCTAGTTTTTGTTCTATTGAATGCAATGTTATGCTAACAACAACAACCCAGTTAAATCCCACAAAAGTAGGGCCGGGGAGGGTGTGTGTATGCTTACATTATCCTGCCTGAGAGTAGAAAGACTGTTTCCAAGAATGCATTCGTATGCTATCTGGAAGAAATGAAGAAAACAAAAGAATAAAAAAAAGAGATAACTGATATAAATAGTTCTGTGGTGTCCAGTTGTTTCTGGTTGCTTTAACTCATATCCATGTGTTTTCTTTTTGTTTGGTACCTGCACACATACTACATTACTACAGAAAGCAGTAATGCAAAAATACTGTATTATGGCTAGAGTACTCCTTTTAATGCTTTATAGTGTGTAACACTTATGTACGAAGAAGGGGAACTGTCTGAAAAATAATAATTGCTCTCTTAATATTCCAAGGTGACTGTTCATTTAAAACTTTTTTAAAATTTTTCTAAAGCTATAGTTAAAAGAGAATGGAGGGAGTGACCAGTTTATGAATTGATTATAATCTCCCAGAGCAGTCTTCTTTCCATTTTGATCATGAAGCCTGTATTTAGTCTGAGCACTCTACACTCTACAGCCATAACAATAAGTTTCTATCGAAGATTTAAGAAGTAGCTTCATAATTCTGCCTGTCTCGGATATGCATTTGTAGCTTCCCATAGCTCAACCTGCTCAATTAATTTGTGTTTCCTATTAAGAAAGGCTTGAAGATTTGCAGGATCATAATGAGGAGGCATGGTGCAAGGGCTTGATTCTGAAGCATTGTTCACCATTGAAAACAATCTGAATTTCTTCCTCAACCCTTTGACAGAACAAATCAGTGCCTCTCGGCACACTTCAACAGCTCCTTCAGGTACACTTGGCTGAAACTTCAAATGCTTTGCATATTCTTGTAAAAGATGAAACATGTAGTCATAGACATACTTCATTCTTAAGTTTTCTTGAACATACCTGCTTCCTTCTTTCCCAATCTTTTGTGCCTGATGAGCCCCCATAAGAGGGGAAAAAACTTAGTGTCAAGTTGTAAAAGTTAATCTGGCCGAAATGATTGAATCTACTAGATTTTCTGAAACACAGAACGTTTGTTACCATCTGTTTGATCCAATCAAATAATTTTTCCAAAGCTATTGTTCTGATGATGTGTAGAATAAGAAGAAAAAGCTAGAGCTTTCTTAATCACCACACTTATCTGTGCAGATTTACCTCTTTTGGATGAGAATTTCCCCAATCTACTGCAAATTTGGTTGATCTGCATTTTTCTTTTTCATTGATCGGCCAATAATGGACCGTGGGTACAAGGCTTCGTGTGAAGAAATCATAGTAGCGAGGGTTTATGATCAGACTCATGGAATCACAGGCAAGAATATACTTCTCACTCACTGACCACGAAACTCCTTCGACATAAATTTTATACCTGCCACACAAATCATTGTGTGAAAGCTGGAACAATGCGTAGTCTTGAAATGTCTAGGAGTTTCACAACAACACACCTATATGTGCATTGGTTCGCCAAATCTGAGGTGTTGAATCCCTGTGTTTTCTCATGAAGCCAGTCCTGAAAATGGCTAATTGCAGTCTTTTAAGTAAAATAATTGCACAAAACATTTTTTTCTTCTTCTTATGCAGTTCAATAACTTTAGAGTACTATTTCATTAGTTACCACGTCATAGATCCGGGCATTCCAGTCTTGCTTAGCAGAAACATTGCATTTGACAAGATCTGGCCTTGCAATGCCCAGTTTCGTATTTCCCTTCCAATATGCGTAGGGCTCTCTGTCCTCCCACTTCATCGCATCATTGCTTTCTTGCAACTCTTTCTTCAAGATTTCCCAAGGCTTTATTTTGAGCTCCGGCCTACAAAATTGCTCATTTGAACTTAACAAGCTTTGATACCACACTAACATCAATTCTAGCTTTAGGAAGGGTGATGGTATGCATTTACCAACCCCAGAAGGACCAGTCAGGAAACACAATGTCATAGCTCCATTCATCACTACAGTAGTGAAACACCGGTGGAGGAGCAAAACCCTGTTTGGTTGTGTCGTGGGCCCGTTTATGTATAACGGGCTTGTCACCACACTCAAACATCATATCCAAATCCGGGATTCTACCCGGGTACAATGCGAGAAGCTGCAAAATCCCCCATAGTGTGACCATGTCCCTTGTTTGGAAAGCCTGTTTATACTTCTCCACATACAATACACCTTTCACTACAATCACTCTAATGTGTGCTACTTCTCTAGCTCTTTCAACCATCTCCCTTGTGATTCCTGTAGCTTTCCATGGCTTCAGGTCTTCATGGATCCACCGGAAGTAATCTGGGCATTCCTCAGTTTGTGATGTATGTTCATTCTTGTGCACATAACCGACTCTCCGTGGGCATTCGGTTGAACAAGATATCTTAGGGAATATTGTGTTAGACTTTTTTTGCAATGAACCTGATAGAATAGACTGGAAACAAAATTGCATTGTTAATGTTCCAAAAAAGGGAAAGAATAGAAATATATTTAGTAAATTCATGCATATGTACCATATCCATCCATTGGACTGTGATTGCAGCAACCAGAAGGATTGCCAGAAAGAATCCTAAGGTTGTACCCTTATGATGAGGTCTCCCTATCATTCCATTCCCTGCTTTGGTTCTCCTGTTTTCACAATAAAACATGCAGTTTTTATTGGTCTAAAGTTATATATTTGCCTCTAAAATTATTAAGTAGAATCAAGGTTTGAAGAAAGTCATATGCATGAACAGGAGCATTTTGTGGGTAACTAGTGGACAACTTTGTGGGATTATTTTTGCTTCCCTCATTTTCCTCCACTTTTGACAATTTTTTAGTTTTTATTATAAATATAATGTGTCACTATATTTGTAAATAGTAATAACAATAACAATAATAATAATAGTAGTAATGATAATAATAATGATAATTAATAATAATAAGAAATATTTTCACTAAATAGCACTAAAATTTAAGTCATTTTTCTAAATAGCACTTAAACTGAGTTATTTCCTAAATAACACTTAATAATGTCTATAATGTCCAGTGATGGTAATTAACTTGTCTTGTACTAAAAATGTACATTAACATTAATTATGTGTTTGAAATTGAATAAAAATGTGTTCTTGCCACAACATACCGTTTTGTCTTCCGACTACGAGCAATCAAATACTCCCTCCGTCCTAAAAAGATTTACATCTTTCAAAAAAATTGTGTCCCACAATCTCCTACCCATTTCTATTAAAAAACCACTTTTACCCTTACTTTTTCAAACCCTACCTATCATATCATACCTTTTTTCTTATAATCTACACATCACATTCTACTTTTACACATCAAATCAAGGTTATTTTTGGAAAGTCAACACAAAATTATCCCTCTCTTAATTTCCAATTTAGTCAAAATGTGTAAAACTTTTTGGGACGGAGGAAGTATATATCTCCTTGTGTGGGAACTTCAAATGGCTTTGAATGTACCTATTTTTCTCACCTTATAATAAAACCTCTCTCTCTCAAGCATTTCCAATCATTGAGTTTTGACTTGTTAAATGTCATTATTTGGCAATTCATTTCAGTTTTTGTACTCCAAGGGGCTTGCTATATTATAACACACTTGGTAAATTTTAACTTTGGCTTGTCATATATAACAAGCCTCTCAAAATATAGAAAACCATGATATTGATTAAATATTTGATTTCTTTTTTATTTTCTCTCATTCTCCTTCTCAAAATATTTAGTTACTTCAACTCTCTAATTTTTTTATTTTTTGTAAAATTCTTTTCTCTACTCTTTAATTCGCATTTATTAAATATTTAAAAAATGCTCTTTATATTTTATTATTTTCCCTAAAGTAAAATACTATTCCGTTTTGTTTTTTGAAATTATTATTTTTAAATAATTATTACTTAATTTTTATAATATAAATAATAATGGAATAATTATTATAATGAAAGTATTATAATAGTGAAAAAATATAATATAATTGTTAGTTAAATTATAGCAAGAGAAGGTTGGAGATGACAATGTAAAATGACTTGCTATACCACTATTTACATGCTAAAAAATAACTTTAGCAAGTCATGTTTAGCAAGTGTGGTTGGAGATGCTTTTAGGCACATGCAATTTTGAGAAAATTTTAAGGTGATAAAAAAATTGAAGATTTTGGCACATGCAATTTTGAGAAAATTGAGGATACATAACTAGTCTCGATCATCTTCCCCATACATTTTGAGAACATAGTATATACTCTATTTGTTGGTTTTGTTACAACACGTCACACATTTTAGAATTAAATTAAACTAACGTCAATATAATTTGATTTCAACTATAAAAAAATACCCGAGTATAATCTTAATTATAAGGTGAGTTTCTTTTATTTCACAAAAAAAGTTGAGTTTCTTCCGAATTAATGTGAAAATGCTACTCCGTATAATTTCTTTTAGTAATCATTTTGTGCATGTGTGATTTATTATAATGGATCTAGGCCTTATAGACTTAAAATTAAAACACTTCACGTATCTCCACAAGAGGAGTATTTCTTCCGTCCCTGAGTATTTGTTTACTTTTAATTTTTTTGATTAAATTAGTAAACTTTGACCTCACATTAAATAAATAAAAGTGATATTAGACATTAATACAAATTTTTTATTAGATTTATTATGTAGAATATTTTCAAATTATTATTATTTTTCTAATAAATATAAAGTATGCATTTTATTTAATTATATGTCAAACGTTGAAAATGATTGATTGAAAAAAGTCAAAATTAGAGAATACACAGGGACAGATGTTGAAATTGACTTAGTGGTTAAAATTCTATGGAATTGATTTAGATGGTGAAAGGATAATAAATAGAGTTTCTTTTTAAATAGATTAGGGTTTTTTTTAACTTTTAATTTTTCCCAATTAAATAAATAAATATTGCACTTCCTTCAAAAAATAAATAAATAAGTAAATCCTTGTTGGTAATTAATTAGGCATTTGACTTCCCTAAGAAAACGAAATAAGTTCCCACTTAGGAAGTAATTTCTTCTGCGACACGCATAAATTATTGATCAATGCTTTGATCGGAAATTGATTAATTGAAGCTACGCTCTTCCAATTCCAAATGTGGTAATTACTTCATTTTCACACAATTTAATTAGTAACAGCTAAAAATGGTGCAAATCATGCATATATATGCTCTTACCAATTTATTATTTGGGTGGTAGGTGAAGCACATGACTAAAAATCTTCTTGATTTTGCCTTTTATATAAAATACAAATCTAAAATTTGAAGTAATGGATAATAATTATACGGTACTAATAATAATAATAATAATGATAATAATAATAATAATAATAATAAAAGATAGTAATAGTAATAATAATTGAAGGAGTAAGAATTCATATAAAGTTAAACTCTACTAATATGAGGGAGTAAGAATTGAATATATTTATGTACTCCCTTGGTCCCTTTTGAATCTTTCCGAATTCAATTTTTAGGGTTAGTATTTTTAAATTTTGGCTAAAAGTTACTAAAAAATACATTGAATTATAATATAAATTTAATATCAATACCTTTATTTATTAACCTAATTTTAAAATATTACGGAGTATGTAGTACATTATATATATATATATATATATATATATATATATATATATATATATATATATATATATATATATATATATATATTCAAAATGAAGATTAAAAAAGGGCATAGAGAGTAATATATTCAAAATTATGGAGTAATTATCAAATTAAAATGCGTGGGTGCCCGTATACGTGCCTCGTCCTGCATGCACTTGCTCCTTAATTACGGACTAATGACTACGCCCAAATATTTATAAGCAATCTTTGATTAAATGCATGGCAAATATTATTACACACACACATATATATCCAGCACGGAGTAACTATAAATTCAACTTTTGGTCTCCATTAAATTTTTTTCTAAATCAGTTTAATTGATTATTTATCTGTCCATCAAGTCAAGTTCATGTTTGATTTTTTTTTTTTGGATTTGAAATAAAAGATTATAAGATAAATTCAGTGAAATTATTCTTGTATCAATATCTTATATAAATTTAATTAACTGTAAAAATTTATCAATTTTAAAAGAAAAAAATTAAAATTGAAGAAATACTATTCAACAAAAGGAATAATTAAATGAAACTCTAATCATAATTTGGGAAATGCATGCAAAGTGGAGTATATAAGTAAAATATTGTGTGCTAAACTAAACTACATACAAAAAATTTAATTCAATTATTATTTCGAGAAGAAGCAAAAGAAAATGAAGGAAAAGCTGATGAAGTGTAACAAACACTACCGTTCCTTTTTTGGTCATAAATTGGCTCCCCCCATAATACAAACCAAACGCCTCGCCGGAGTCGCCGCCGGGGCCGCGGCGGCCCTCCTCCTACTCCTCTACATCATCGCCACCAAAGACGCCACCCGACCGCCGCTTGCAAACATGAAGAGCACTGACGGAGATGATGTCGCCTTCGAATTCCCGCTAGACTGCGCCGCATGGAACAAGACAAACACGTGCCCGAGGAACTACCCGACGTCATCGCCGCCGGCAAACCTTAGTCCCGCCGCCGGCGTGCCGGGGATGTGCCCGGAGTACTTCCGGTGGATCCATGAGGACCTGAAGCCGTGGAAGGAGACGGGGATCACGAGGGAGATGGTGGAGAAAGGCCGCCGGAGCGCGCACTTCCGGCTGGTGGTTTCCGGCGGCCGGATGTATGTGGAGAAGTACCGGAAAAGTATTCAGAGCAGAGCTCTGTTTAGCATGTGGGGGATGGTCCAGTTGCTCCGATGGTACCCGGGGAAGTTGCCAGACTTGGAGCTCATGTTTGACTGCGATGACCGGCCGGTTGTTCGGGCAAAAGATTTCCGGAATCCCAACTCCGGCCCGCCGCCGGTTTTCCGGTACTGTTCCGACGAACGGAGCTTGGACATTGTGTTCCCGGACTGGTCATTTTGGGGCTGGTTCGTAACTAATACTCCCTCCTTTCTTTGCATTTGTATGTCCACATTTGATTTTTTAGAGTCTAATGAGTATCGAACTTTGATCTAAAATTTGTAAAAAATTTACTGTACTTTGTAATATTAATTACGGAATAGATAAATCAATTTTTCTAAAATGTGTTAAGACAAACCTAATAAAATTATTCTTTTATCAATATCTAATACGAGTATAAATTATAATCCCTCCGTCCCTTAAAACTCTTTCTTCTTTTTTTCTTATCCCAGAAACCTTTTCTCTTTTCTATTAAAAAATCATTTTTACCCATATTAATTCTTACACTGCCTATTACATTATATTTTTTACTAATAATTTATCAATCAAGAGTATTTTTGAAAAGTGAACAAAAAAATATGACTCCCTTAGATTCTCAAAAAGTCAACAAGGAAAGAACTTTAAAAGAAAGATATAGTATTTAATTAATAGTCTGAGTTTATTAATTTAGACGACAAGAAAGTCAAAACTGGATAAAAACTCTCAAATTGAAGTAGTAATTCATATTCCCCTCCTTTGCATATCTAATTTTCATTTTGATTTAATTCCAAGTGATATTTAAAAAAAAGAGCATGAATAGTGAAATTTTAGGGAAATATAAAGGCATATGATTGTAGGGCGGAGACAAATATAAGGCCATGGAGAAGTGTGATGAAGGACATAAAAGAAGGGAACAAGAGAAAGAAATGGAAGGACAGGGTGCCCTTAGCCTATTGGAAGGGCAACCCAAAGGTGACACCTTCTAGGACTGACCTTATGAAATGTAATCTCACTCGACGCCATAATTTCAACACTCTTCTCTATGTTCAGGTATGCCCCATACATACATACATACATACATACATACATACATACATACATACATATATAGTTCTCACAAATTCAAAAAAAAGATATTTGTGAGAACGTACATAAAAATTTTAATCGTCAATATATTGCCTGTCTCGAACAACGTAACGTTGTGAGAAGTAAATTTTGATGGTTAATTTTTTTCGGGGGGGGGGGGGGGGGGNAAGAAAAGGATACAAACAATCAAGTCTTGGAGACCAGTGTACTCACAGGTTAATTTAATCAAAGTAAAGTAATAATGTATATAGTATACTTATGAAATCAAAATGATAATGTATTACTCCCATAATATATGTATGTATATGTGCTCATGATGTAGATACAAGATATACATAGAGGGATGGGCATGGTCGGTGAGCGAGAAATACATAATGGCATGCGACTCACCAACGTTGTACGTCGCGTCTCGCTTCCACGACTTCTTCGTCCGAGGGATGGTCCCTCTGCGTCACTATTGGCCAATTAACAAAACTAGCAAGTGCAAGTCTCTCCAATTTGCAGTTCATTGGGGCAACAATAATAATCACACTTCCCATGTAAGTTATAATATGACATTAATTCTAAAAGAATTTCCTATCATACCCTTTTCTAGGATTGAATTGTGCTGGGGCTAAGGAGGGTTGGGATGGGGTGAAAAAAGGTTGGCTAAAGGGTGAGGGTTTGCAAAGGGAATTAGGAACGAATTCAAGATCAAACGAATCACTGTAAGAGCATCAAATGATCAATGTCAAAAGAGTGAGCTCATTCTAATATTTATCGAGATAAATGTAAATATAAGTGGCCAAAATATTACTCACATTAATTCCCAATCCATGAAAAAAATAGTAAAGCATTTTGAGGATGGAGTATACTCGCTCTCTTTCGGGATAGTCACAATATTTCACACTTGGATTGGTATTTATGATTATATTTCAAAATAAATGAAGACAATATAGTACTCCATCCATCTCAAAAAATAAACCTCAAAGACTATATATAGAGTATGGGCACACGCAATACAGTGAAAATATGTATAATGCATATGTTTGCTCAGGCACAAGCAATAGGGGAAGCAGGGAGCAAGTTCATCCAAGAAGACATGAAGATGGAAAAGATATACGACTTCATGTACCACTTGTTGAATGAGTACGCAAAGACGTTGAGATTCAAACCTGAAATACCTCCAAACGCAGTGGAGCTTTGTGCGGAAGCCCTTGCTTGTCCCATAAATGGCATGTGGAGGAAGTTCATGGACGAGTCTTTGGAGAAATCTCCAAGCTACACTCATCTTCGTCGTCATCATCCATGCACTTTACCTCCCCCTTATGATCCTCAAGAGCTTGAAGCTTTTTTGGGTGAAAAAATGGAGGCAACCAAGCAAGTGGAGACGCGGGAGAAAGAGTATTGGGACAACAAATTCAAAAGCTAAGCACTCTCAATTACAAGTTACTATAAATAGTGTGTCTTCGGGTGTGTTTGGGAACGACTTCATCAATGTTTAGCGTTAGCGTTTTGAAAAGGTTATCTAACGACAACGTTTAGCTATAGCGTTTGTATACCATAGTTTGTAAGGCGGTAAGGTGAGGCGAGGCGCCAATATACCTTCATACTGCCTAGGCGACTAGGCGGACGCCTAGGCGACTTATATACACACACACACACATATACATACATACATATATATATATATATATATACATACATACATACATATATATATATATATATATGTATGTATGTATGTGTATATGTGTGTGTGTGTGTACACACACACACGACACAACATACCCTGCCGATGAATTCTCAGGAGCGGCCCAGTAGAAGAGTCATATATATTTTTGTAACAATGCAACGTAAAGTAGAAAATAACTTCTTCTATGGTTTCAGGTCCATACTCATTTTATGAATCTTAGAGGGGTGTATTCAATCTAGATTTCTAAAGATTATGTCAGATTTTTAATAATTCATGGATTATGAAAAATCTATGGATTGTTTTATTTTTTCTACATAGAATTAGATAGATTTTAATGTATTTCATTATTTGGATTAGTTCAGATTCTAAAAAATCAATAAACTGTAATATGCTTACATTATTCGGATGTATCTTTTGCTGTAATTCTTTTTTATACTCCCTGTATTGAATGCATCCCACATTGAAGATAAACCCATGGTTTTGGCGATTGGAGCACGCATGACACATACTGCCGGAGATAAAATCTATGGACTATGTTGCCGAATCTCACCTCCAACTATAAAATTCCTAGCCGGCGATTGGAGTGAGAATTCCTCAAAATCTGTGGTCAAAATTAGGTTCTCTTCCAAGATTAATATGGTTTGTGAATGGATTTCTCAAAATCTGCCGGCAATAATATGAGTCGACTTATGATGATATGGTTTTGATTAAAAAATGTGCAAAGATATATTATCCAAAAAAAAGTTGCAAAGATAGAACCAACGAAGGAAGTGGACTGCGGAAGATGAACGATGAAAAAGTTCTTGCGGACGATTGGGGAAGACAAAATCTCAGGTTTGGAGAAGAGATTTGTAAATGGATTTTTATTTATACTAACCACGGTAGAATCCAGCACAATCCATATTCAAAGGAATTCTTTGAAAATCTATTGAATTTTTAATACCATGAAATTTAGATGGACTTTTAAAAGTCTTAATCGAATACATCAAGATTTAGATGTATTTCTAAAAGTCCTAATTGAATACATCAATATTTTAAATGACTTTTTTAAATCGTAATTGAATATCCATAGACTTTCAGAATACAAAAAAATCTTGTGAAATCTTGATTGAATACATTCCCCTTAGTATATAAATACAATGAATGAATTGGACTCTAAGGAAAAATAAAAAAATTCCAAGTCTCGCCATAAAAAATGTGAGAAGGCACACGTTTCAAATGTGGATTTTTAAGATCACGTTTAATTTCATGAACGCAAAACTCAAGTGGAAATATACCTTGAAAATGTGTTGTGCCATACATTTTTGTAGGTACCCAAAGAATATCATTTTATTATCCTACACACCATAACGCAAAGATCAAGCAGTGCTCTTGGCTATGAGAAACCATCTTAAGGTTTTAGTGACTAATCTCTTAGAATCTTCGTATTTAAAGAAATATGTTTAATTCAGTCATTCAATTTTTAAATATATTAAGGTAGTGTTTGGGAACTAGAATTCATTTGAAATATTAGATTTCAATTCCAACATCAGAAATTTCATAAAACCAAATTCACAATTATGTTTGGAAAGTCATAGAATTTCAATTCCAGAATTTGAATTTTGAAGTCGGCAAAGACAGTAACATAAGCGAATTTATATGTATTGAATTGTTATTATATAAAAGAAGATCACTCTTTAACTACAAATTTTAAATTAAAGGAAAAATAAGTTTGAATTTGTAAGTGACATGGGGAGGGGTGTCGATTTGCACTTGAGTTAGTTTTGAATTAGAAGAATTTGGTTCAAATCCAAAACCAAATTCTTTGAGCTCCCAAACAAGTAGTTTGAATCAAACCTGGATTTGAAAGCCAAATTCAAGTTAAGTTTATTTTAAAACAAACCGAGTTTCTCCGTATTTAAAATTCCCTCATTTCGTTTAAAAAAAGTCATCCACTTAATACCATGTTTTACATTTTTTGAACGAATGAAAATGTCCAAAAAAATAAAAAATAAAAACTCTTATGCTACGTATGACGTCACTTAAAAACTCTTACAATGAGGTTTTCTTTATGTAATTTTAAAGAAACCAAACTTTAATATATACTTCTGCGATTTTTCAGACTGAGAATTCTTGAGTCGTCGTCTCACCTCTGTATTATGTGTTTCATAATAATGAGAATATGCACAATTTAAAATCTGTTCCATTATTTCTTCCCAAAGTACATATATAACACTAACTGCACTCGAACATTAGAACTTGACTACCATATCATGACCATTGGAACAGTGCCTGCATAAATAAGTCTACCAAAGCATGTCGCGAGAATTTCATATGCATTCTTCTTCTTATACTCTTCCATGTTCCTCCACGCTTATACCATGTGACAAAGGAAGCAATTCCCGCCCATCTGTTTGCCTATTCTATCGGAAGAATCAGAGAATTTGCATGAATGATATTAAGCAAGAAACCAATATATATATATATATATATATACACACGTAGTATATGAGAAAACACAACCACATTAACACTAACACAGGGACTTGCCTCATACGGGAAGTACTCCCTCCGTCCCGTGAAACATTTCCCCTTTCTTTTTTTATCCGTCCCACAAAATACTTCTCATTTCTATTAAAAAGTCACTTTTACCCCTTACTTTTTCATACCCTAACTATCACATCATACCTTTTTACTAATAATCTATCCATCAAATCATACTTTTACCCATCACATCAAAGGACATTTTTGGAAATTCAATATCAAAATACACTCCCTTAAATCCCTCCTAAAAAGCAAATGTCCCATGTTTCACGGGACGGAGGGAGTATTATTTTTGAAGTTGATTTGGGGATCTCAGACGACGCAAAGCTATTTGGTTATTTTGACCAAATTGGGCCGTCAAATTACTCCCAGAATCGCTGCATATTTCTCAATTGGTGAGGTTTGATCAATTGGAGAGGTGTGCAAGCCCACTACCTCAAATCATTCCTTACAGAGTATTCTTTGTTATCAAATGCAGCAGGAATTTTCATTCCGCATGGAGGCCCGATTCAAACGGTTAGAAGCTTTGGTTATGTGTACTTGTACACTAGAGAGACTTATTGAGTTATTGGAAAATGTTTTATATTTAGACGAAGGGGTGTGTTGGGTTTATGATCATGTTGATGACCTTATGAAAACGCTCCAATCGTTTCCTCATACTCCAGGTCAGCCAAGTCATGATTCTGACTTCTACGCATTTGACATCAAAATCTCTTGCTCCATACAAGATTTGGTTCGCGGTCTCCCAATTTCGCCAAGTTTGATTTCTTTCGAGTTACAAAATTTCAAAACAAACATGTTGGGTGGTATAAAAAGCCTCATTGACGCTTCTTTTCCTATAGCAAATTTGTCTCCAATGAAAGGTGATACATTTGTCCAGAAAATAGACGAAGCAATCGTACTCCCGACTCCTATTGCAGAGGATGCAGTTGGGTTTGAGGGACTACGCGTTGCACCATACGTCGAGGATATCGTGGATAGTGGGTATGACGCCATACATGAAAATGAGGGTGCTAGAGCTAGTGATGATGAGTCATTCTACAAACACGATCCTACATCTGATGGATTTTATGCACCAATCAATACCTTGATGGGTGTGGTCATTGTAGATTTTAATGTTCCCGATATTATTGACAAGGTGGCAGATGCAGATAATAAGCTAGCGGACATTCCCATTTTATCTGACACCATTAAGTTATTTGACATTGTCGCTATGGTCAAGACGTAGCACCTGGTTTCACCGAGAGCAACTGCATATGCTATGTGCCCTGTCTCATATTTCCATCACTCTGCTGCACGAGCCAAGGTGGTTGAAGATTCAAAGAGTAGGCTGCTCCTTTGGTTTAGCATTATCTCTCCGGTTCAGAAGCACGAGTGGGAGCCTCCACCTTGAGGACAAGGTGGATTTTAAAGGGGTGGGAATGATATGATAATATATTAGTTATATTATTTATTAAATAGTACTCCGTATTACTTATTATTATTTATTAATATTCTATAGATTGGAGTTTAGTACGGGCCCGAGCCCATTAGGTCAACTAGCGTAGCTTTACTTCCTATATATTGTAATCCTTCCCCGTTATTATGAAAGGAATAAAAGAAATATCAAAACCCCAATCTCCTCTTCTATTCTCTTGGAGTCCGGAAACGCTCGAAGTTTTCCATCTTTCTCTACCTCATATTCTTGGAGCTTGAAGAGCGCTCGAAGTTCTTCTCTATCCGATACGATATTCGTATCACAAGTGAGAGCATAACTTTCAAGCGTAACTAAGGTTGACTAATGACTGCTTACCTTATATATATTGAAGGTAGAAGCCGAGTGTAAAGAATTATTAAGGCAGTTTGGAACATACCAATCAGTCAACTAAAGTGAGTGATTGGAGTTTAAAGCTGAGTTTGATCATTATTTTTTTGAATGAAAATGTGGGATAAAGAAGTAAAGAAGCTGCTTTTGTGGGTGAGGAAAATCAACAAATAGTTTATGTGTTTGATGCTTCCACACCTTTGTGGGCTATTAGATATCCAAGAAAATCCTTAAAGTCTACATTAAAGTATATGACCAAAAAAGAAGGTAGGGTTACCAGAATTGTTGAAGAGGTGTCTGAGAGCATGAGACGAACAACCTATGAGAACACTGCATGCCTTTGAAGAGGATGCAATCAATATCTAATGCAATGCCAAATGATGGTGATACACTGCTAAAAAGACAACATTTCAACACGGATTCATGATACCTAATTGCAAGAACATAAATCAAATGAACTTTACAATGGAACTTACTGAAGCCAAATAATTTCATGCATTGACTATTTGAAAACAAGGGGAGCTGCTGGTATTTTTGGATTTTTAAAGGCATAGAGGGAAATTAAGTTATAGTCGTTGTTTTATAGCGATTTTAGAAGAAATCTCTTTTTGACTTGTATCAAGATCAGACTTGCAATTATACTCTGAAGTAAACATGTCTCCTTACATTTCATATTAATTAGGATGCATCTCCTTCTGTCCCTGCACTCTTACTACACATAATGGGAAATTGAACATCAATAAATAAATTCTAGTCCTTTGGAGAAATCATAAATTAGTAGAAGCTATGCTGCAAAATTCAAATTTAACTAACCTTTGCAATCCTTTTCAAAACTTAACCACGCTTTGCGTTTCTATCAACTTTGTTAGGCTATGATGATGTCATAATCTGTTTTAGACATTCATGGGTGGAGGAAGATTGGCTGTTTCTTCTTTCCTTTTTGATTTTGAAGCAATATGATCAAGCGATGCTAGTCTGAATATTGTTTTGCTTCTTTTTTTGCGGATTTAGAAGTTTTTTGTGTCATTTTTATTATTCATGGCACATGGCAGTTGGTTGTTTATGTTAGCTGATTTGAATGACTGATTGGGTTAGCTGTTTTGACCGACTGTTTCTGTTAGCAGTTAAATTTTAAGTGTTTGACAACTTTAGCTGTTTATAGTTAGCTGTTTGTAAATAAAATTACATAAAAGGACATCCCTCCATTTATGGTATATTTTATTTTACAATTTTTTTAAATATCATATCATAAATATATTTTTTTAAAATTAAAAAAATTAAATAAAAATTTATATATATATATATATGTGTGTGTGTGTGTGTGTATGTATGTATGTATGTGTGTGTGTGTGTGTGTGTGTATAGACATGATATTTATTTTTTATTTTTTTACATGTAAAAATTAAATCTTTACTATATGGAATATTAAATTTTAATTTTATTTAATTCATAATAAATTATAAATATAAATTTTTTAATGGATTATAAATATAATTTTTTTTAACTTTTATTTTTATTTTTTCGTATTTAATTTTTTTAACTTTTATTTTTATTTTTTTACATATATTATAAAATATCTTTCAACAAAAATGATTTTAAAAAAAATATTTTTCCTAACCGCCAATTCCAAATGCTACTCACCTTGGCATTTCAGATTTTGGCTTTTCAGATCAAAATGCCAAGTGAAAAAGCCATTAGCCAAACAATGGTTTTGGCGATTCGCTTGGTCAAAAAAGCCAAAGTCAGTCAAAGATGCCAAAAGATATCCCAAATGCTGTTTTCCAAACACTGCCATTATCTAGTAGTACTTTTCTTGCTCTTTTTTTTACTCAAGTTTGTTTGTTGAAGGCGTATGACTTGGCCCGTGCCCACCCCTAATTCCAACCATTTCACCGCACCGCAGGAAAGGCGAAAGGCGATGAGTCTAATTGCAGGTTCCTACGAGCGGTTCATATGGGGATTCAAACTGAAGCATCTGAAAGACAGTCAAAAGCCTTGACCTAATTCCCCTCTTTTCCTTCCCTCCCCACCTCTCAACTATCAAATGTGCCGATGTTTGTGGTTCCGCTGCGGTTTCAGGCGGATCCGACGACACCATTAAGATCTATGACCCCTCTCTACCTGCTCTGAGATTGGATCCCTCCACCATTAACTCCCTTGCATTTGTTACACCCCCTCCTCTCTCATTCCCTCGCAATCTCATCTCCGCGGCAGATGACGGTACTGTCTCCATTTATGACGCTGATCCCTTTGTTCACCTTAAAACTCTCAAAGTCCACAGGAAAGGTATCAATTCCATTTCTATCCACCCTTCAGGTCGGTTAGGGTTGTCAGTGGGCCGAGATGAGTGCTTGGCAATGATTAATTTGGTGAGAGGGAGGAGGAGTTTCTACTGCAGGTTGGGCAAAGAGGCCTCAATCGTGAAATTTAGTGAAACTGGAGAAACATTCTACATGGTTATGGATAAAAAAGTCTCAGTACATGAATCTGGGGATGCTAGAATAGCCATGGAGTTTGATAATGCCAAACAAGTTCTCTGTGCTACCCCAGGAAAGGTGAGTCCTGCATTGTGATCTTTATTTGATGGAACTTTTAAGGTGCAAATTTTTGTATGATTAGTGTTTGTTTGAAGCATTGTATTGATAGCTTGTTTTTTAGGCTTATGTAAACAATTGTCTGTTTGCTGTATTTCACTGAGTTCAATGAATGCATTGATTATATGAGTAAACCCTGCAGATTTGATTTAAAACTGCTCTCAAACAAGTCCAATTTGTGTTTGTTACTTTGGGTTTAGGTCATTTTTGTGTTACTTTGGGTTTAGGACAAATCTGGGCTTACATTGGTTTTCTTAATAAATACAATCAAATGTATAATAGCACTTGTGTTTGTATAATAAATGTAATAAATCAATATCTAATACTCCTATCCTAACTTGTTTTGGCTCTTTTTGATTCTTGTCTGTTCTAATTTGGTTTGCATATTTTCATTTATATAAAGTACTCGTATTATATTAACTTTGGAATATTTATCAAGGCTATTATAGTGTTATTGTATTTTTTTCCCTTAGTGATTTCAATTACTCTGTACGTTATCAGAAGACTAAAACAACAATACAATATCATTTCATTGTTCGAATAGAAATAGGATGCGTCAAAATAGAATAGAAAGAAAATAATACATTAACATGGTTTTTATCACTTTTATACTCTCTCTGTCTCATTATCTTTGTCCACTTTAGTTTTGGCAAAATTACCAAGTAAGTGGGACAAGAGAGTATAGAAGGACTAAAATGCCCTTATGGGCCACGATGAGAAGGATAGGAAAAAACTATCAAATCAAATTGATCACTGTAGGAAGAAGCATTAAGCATTACAAATGTACTGTACAAAGCACTTTGCAGTGCATTTTCCTCCTTTAACCACACATGAAGTTGAAAAAAACTTGCCTCTAAACCTAAAATTAGAACCCCTGCCCTCTTTCTTAAATATCAATGGAAGCCAGATTTTTAAAATTGCCTTTTTAGACGGTGCATGATAATCCAGTGGAATAGTGAAGCTTGGATCAAATCCAGCTTCGCAGCTTCAATGAATGGCTCAGAAAGAAGGACTCCATTTATTTTTCTAGAAAGATCAGATCTAAGCAAAATGATGAGAGAGTACGAGATCGGATCTAAGCTAGATGATGATAGAGAACAAGATCTGTTCTAAGCAAAAATATGAGAGAGAAAGGGATCGGATCTAAAGAAGAAGAACATGAGAGATAACAAGATTGCTTCACAAGAGATGGGTAGGAGGAGACGAAAGGAGAAGGATCTAGAATGGAGAAGAGCTTAGCCACACATATACAGTGTAAGATGAGGCGGAGTAAATGATGGGTGGATTGGAATATGAGGATATTAATGGAGGAAGTGATTTTGTTGACCTGAAGGGTAAAACAGACTTTTAGATAAGTTTTTCTTACCAAATTAAGTGGACAAAAACAGTGGGACGGCCCGAAAAGGAAAAGTGGACAAAAACAGTGGGACGGAGGGAGTATTTCGCATTAAGGGCATCATTTTGGAAAAGTCTTTCCTCAACGAGTCGAACTGACTTTGCGTTCCGTTTAGGTTTCAGATCACAAACTTCTAGCTCAAAATTTAATAATTTTTCTGACATGTCATGGCTAAAAAACTGGCCAGGTCAAATTTTGACTAGTCTATTAATGACTAGCTATGTGGCACAGGCACAACAACAACAACAACAACCTAGATTTGTCCCACGAGAGTAGGGTATGGGGAGGGTGTGTGTACGCGCAGGCACAATATGTCATATTATCAACCCAAAGACAACTTCATCTGATGCATATGCATGTTTCTATATATAATTGTTTGTTGTTTAAGATGCTGGTTGTTTCTTATGTTCAAAGGTTAATGGAAGAGATTCTTAAGCTATTACCTTCTTGTTTTTTCTATATGTTCTGTAATTGAACGGTTGAACCAATCTTTTACAGGGTGGCATACTATTTACTGGTGGGGAGGACCAGAACATTACTGCATGGGACACAAAAAGTGGAAAGGTTGCATACAGCATCATCAAGGCACATTCAGCCCGAATTAAAGGCATTGTTGTGCTCTCCCACAATGACAATTCCTCTGTTGAGGTCGATCCGTATTTAGTAGCATCTGCTTCATCGGATGGCAACATACGTGTTTGGGATATTCGCAATGCAAGCAAGGAGGAATCGGGTCCATTGGCCGAGGCCAATACGAAATCCAGACTGACTTGTCTTGCTGGATCGTCCATCAAATGTGAGTCCTTTCTAAGCAGTTACACTGTATTTCTTCTTTTGATGATTGCTTGGTTGTCTCTTTTCTGTACGTGCAAGAAACTTTTAAGCTAATACTCCCTTCGTCGCAAACAACTTTACCCAGTTTGGCTTTCATGAAGTTTAAGAAAAGTGTTGGAAAGCAAAAAGTGTATGATCAAAATTTGTTCAGGTTAGAGAGAAATCTCGTGAGTCATATGTTCATTACTAAAAAATGAAATAAAGTGAGAAATGTTTTTTAGGACTTTCAAAAAGAGAAAGCGGGTAAAGTTTTTTAAGATAGAGGAATATAAATATATCTGGAACTATTCCGATCTTACAGGTGTAATTGTTTTATCAAACAACTAACTCACGTGTAATTGTTTTTAATCTTACAGCTATGATGGGCTTTTCCTCTCACTACTCTAAACTTATAGTTTTACCACCGCAACCTGACCCACGTGCCTCCACTCTAGGCTCTCCTTTTACGTCCTCCAAATGTGTGGATATTATGCATTGCATAATAATCACACATTTGGATTGGGTAAAATAGGGTCTAGAGTGGGGGTGTAGGGGTCGGGCTAAGATAGGGTGCTATGTCGAATTTAGGGAGAGGTTAAGGCGGTAAGAATCATTAATTTTCTATTTGGAGCACTGGAAAAGTTTCAAATGAACCACCTTGCCATAGGTGAATCATAAATATTAATTGTACTCAAAAATTTTTTTTTATATTTTGATAGCTTACATTGACATAAAATATTAGTGTGATTACAAATTTCCAGTGATATTTTATGCCAATGTAAAATATCAGTCTCGCACTTATATTCACACCAAATATATGTGAATCGTTATTATACATTTTAAAAGTACAATTTTTGAGATATGCGTAAATTTATTCAGGAAAAAAATGTTATGCAAAAAAAAGGCATAAATAAACGTTTATAGGTACGTTAGATAGAGAGAGATTTGGCACTTGTTGATGTATTAGATGATAATGGAATCTTCAAATATGACACCACTTTTGTTTCAATTCACTCTCCAAAAGGTGAAATCGCTCACCCCGGGCGCCCCTCACCCCCGACCCGACGGGAATGTGAGAGGAGGTAAATCACGGTGACCCAAGCACAACAATTAGCTAGACCATATCCTAATGCGCACCAGAGACTCCCCCCATTTTTCAGAGGTGGTCGCCCCCACACGGTTGCTACCAGAGACTCCCCCCATTTTTGAATCTTCAAATATGACACCACTTTTGTTTCAATTCACTGTTCCGTTTCTGTCCCCATCCCTACCCCTATGGGTACCCTTTCTTTAGCCTTCCATAGACCCATAGTTGTAATTTGTCATTACTCACGTGTACAAACGCCTAGCCACGTCCATGTCCATCACATGTCAACTTGGGACCATATAATAAAATTAAACCCTAATTTTAAATTTGTTCAGAATAAGCTATAGATCTGGTTCGAAAACATTCAAAACAAATTTCTTTTTTTTAAAAAAAAAATTGATTAAAAAAAGCAGTAATTAAGTGGTTTCTCTTAGACTTTGAAAATCTTATGAATTTTGTACTTTAATTTCCTCCCAATATACTTTCATTAATTCTTTTAAACTTAGGGTCTATTTGGAAAAACATTAATGATTAACGTTCGCATTTTGAAAAAAATTATCAAGAAAAATCGTCTAACTATAGCGTTTTTAAAATAATTTATTCAAAATACTAACACTAATCTCTAATATTATATTGAAACAAGACATTACAAATGAAAGTTGCAAATTTCCAAGCAGAAAGAGGGAGAACAAAAAAGTAAAATTACATTGATGCTTTATTATTATGAGACAAGATAATTGTACACATCTTTTGTGACTCGTTATACATGATTTTTAAGTCAAAATTGGGGACTTAAAAGAAGAAAATAAAAAACAAAGTCGTAGGTCAAAAATAAAAAAAGACTTTGAAATAACAATAATGAGCTCTCCAGGCGTTCTCTATCTCTGTCTTTTTTGCTTGAGCAATACTACGTTCACAAACAGAATGATTACAAACTCTACAAACTTGCTATTTATGGTTTAAATTTTTATTTTAAAAATATTTTAGACTATTTATTTTTTTATTGAAGTTCACAAATGGTAAGTTTGTGAAGTTTGAGTTTGTGAACCAAGCATTTCCCTTTTTGCTTCCCAATTATGCAATTTGTCAAACAGTTGAGTTGATGGATGAATGACACTGGAGATTGGAGAGAGAATGTTCTCTTTTTTTACATCACAAATGAAAAAAATTAAATTGGGAAAAAAATGTTTCATCCCAATTAAATCTGCAATCAAACAAGTTAACTAATGATCCTAACAACTCATATTGCATAATTCCAACCCATGCCCTTAAATTGGATAAATGAATTGAAATCAGAGGACAGTAAGAATTGAAGTCGCAGATGTCATAAATGACTCACAAATGACTCAATTTGATTAAACTAAAAAATGACTCCATTAATGACGAAATACAACATCATTAATACTGATATTAACGTCTAAAAAGAAAGAGGAGAAAGAGGAAGAGGAGAACAGAAATTCAAGAAACAAAAAAAAACGCGTAGGCATTCACTGCCGCTCGTTTGGAGGTGCGGAGGCAGCTCCCGGTGGCGGTGAGGCGGCGGGCCTTGCAGCCACCCTCCTTAGCCGCTCGCGGCGGCAGAGGCCAATCAGCCATAGAACCACGAGAACGGAGAAGACCGCCGCGAACGTGAAAACGATGAAATGAAACCAACTCATAGCAAACTTACAATAATAAGGACTAAATTAAGCTAGGGGTACACCAACATGGGGTACCCCAAGTGTACACCAAAGCCAACACAGACACACACAGACACAAAGTGTCTGTGTTGCACAGACATTTTGAGTAGCAGCCAGTTTGGTGGCAGCGGCGGCCACAGAATTGGCTGCTGTATTGGGCCGGGTAACCTTTTTTTCCAAGACTGGGTAAAAATTTGAGTAGAAGTTATTCAAGTCTAGCCTCTGCGCGCAACACAAAAAAGATGACAATTTTAGAGAAAAGGTAAATTCTTTTCTTCATTTTCTTTAAAAAATTACGTCAGTTTCCTCAAAAAAGTGTCTAAACATTGCAGAAGTTTGGCAAAACAAATCATTTCTCTATGCTCCTTTAAAGTTAATCTGTGTTCAAAGTTTGATTATTTCTTTCATGGTTTACACCTCTCTTTTTTACCAGTTGATTTTTAAATATAAAATAGTACAATTAAATAGAGAAAATGAACACTAATTTAGGGATGCGTTTATTAAATTGTTGATTGTTTGCACATTAGTTTGAATGCATTATCATCAAGCAATTGATATCCAAACATATTGTCCTGTATTTCATTTAGTTGTATGGCTACTGCATGTTTTTTCAAATAGGAATTGGTTAACTATTGGAATAAAATTAACCACTGAAATTTTAAGAATATGATAACTAAGGAATGTTTATTCTAATATGCAGTAATAGGGTTGTAAAACGAACGAATAATTTTGATTCGATTCGTGATTCGTATTCGAATTCAATTATTCATATTCGAAAAAATGAATACGAATACGAATATAAATATTTATTAGAATTCGAAAGAAAAACGAATACGAATATGAATGTATATGTATTCGATTCGATATGTTAATGAATATATTTGAATCTAAATATAGAAATTTATATCTAATACTCGGAGTATATGTTTGGCTCATAATACAAAGTCTACGTAGGGGCAATATTGCCTACACACATCTTCTCCAGTCCCTAGTCTCGTTGGATCTAACTAGATTGTTGGTGTTATAGGCATGCCATTTTTAATAGTCGATTAATTTTGAGAAAAAGACTAGAGTAAAATTAAATATTGAAAATAAATCAAAATAGGAGTTATATATTTTTATTCTCGAAATAAGAGTTAAAATGCATTTACAATGTTATTCATTACCATGTACATTACTAAAAAGTATTGTGAATTATTCAAATGCAGTGTCACATTACCACGGTGCAAACTCCATATTTTAAAGATAAAATATAGAGTTTATATTTTGGCACTTTCTCCATATTTTACTCTTATTTGAGCTAATTTTTTTACTAGTTTTTGTAGCTATAAAATCTAAAAAATAAAAAATCATATTTCATAAAAGAATACGAATACGAATATTTGATTTTAATATCAAATCGAATACGAATAGTAATAATTATTCGAATAAAAAACGAATATGAATAATGCTATCATTTTTCAAATATGAATAAAATTTCACAATATTCGATTCGTTCGTTTTACAACCCTATGCAGTATGCATGTATGAAGGGGCTGTGATGATTTCTGTATCATGGTGGTGCATTGGTGCAAAGTGCAATGGCACGTATTGCATCCGTGGTAGCTTTCACTCCACATTGCTCTAGGTGGAAACAAAGATGTGAGCCTCCACAGAAGAGTTGCTTTCCTTATTCATTTGCAGGTTCAACCTTATTTTTTTCTTTTTTTCTTTAATTAAGCTTATGAATGCAATATCAAGGATAATTATTAACATCTTAATATTATTTACTTAGTCTTTGTATTTATCTTGTAGTTGGTTAGTTTTATGTCAAATGTACTCCACACGTAGGTAGCGTACGTTTCTCGATCACCTGCCTAACCTTTTGCTAACTACCTTATGTATATAATGCTGTGATGTGATCAATGGAAATCATCTTCTCCTAAAGTTTTCTATATGCAAGTCATTCAATTGAAGAAGACGGAAAACAAAGAAGAAAAGGAAGAACAGATTAATTCATTCATCTTACGCGATCAACAAAAGGGGAGCAGACCAGTCTTTTATACAAGAAATGCAGAGAGTAAAACTCACTAACAGAAACTTAACTAAAAGCCTATAAAAGAGGAAATTCAGTTGAAACAGCTGGCAATTGAAGATTGGGACAGCTGGCATTTAGTTGAGTCTTCACAGTCAATGGAAACTTGACTCTTCACAGGGAGTTCCTAAAGTTGCGTCCGTTTTTGGCTCAGCATGGGATTTCTCATTTCACCTCACCCCCACATACTCCGGAACACAATGGCTCTGCCGAGCGTCGTCATAGACATGTAGTTGAAACTGGGCTCTCTTTACTTCATCATGCATCCCTGCCCATTTCCTACTGGTCCTATGCATTTCAAGCTGCGGTTTATCTCATTAACCGTATGCCAACCCCCGTTCTCAATTTTCAGTGCCCCTACACTGCCCTATTTAAGGCTCGACCTAATTATCTCAAAATTCAACCGTTTGGTTGTCTATGTTATCCCTGGTTGCGCCCATATAATTCCCGTAAACTCTTACCTAAGTCTGCTCCCTGTGTGTTTCTTGGGTACTCAACTGATAAATCTGCGTACAAGTGTTTGGACATCACTACCAACCGGCTCTACTTCTCTTGCCGTGTACGGTTTGTTCCTAACACCTTTCCTTTTGTCAATCTCACTACTCCTCCTTCTCGTCCAAACCCGCCTATTGTTCTGCGGCGCGATCCAGCACCTCCTTCTGATTTACCGCAGTCACATCCATCAGTGAACATGCCAGTGTCTGCTTCTCAGTCGTCCTCGTCGGGTCCTCCGCCTCTTCCTACGTCCATTTCTCCTTCCTCCACCAGTGTCTCAGTCCCTATTCAGCCCTCCGTTTCTCCACCCGTGTCTCAGCCCTCTCTGGTTCCAGGCCAGTCCTCTCGGCCTCTCCGCCTTCGTCGTCCCAACACGCGCATTTTTAATGATGCGTTTGTCACCAGCCATGCTCAAACAAATCTCACCACACAACATCCTCTTCCTTCATCTCTTGAACCTAAAACTATTACTCAGGCCCTCAAGGATTCTCGTTGGCGAAAGGCTATGGATGATGAGTACCAGGCACTTCTTCAGAAGGGTACATGGCAGCTGGTTCCTCGTGGTTCCTGTCGCCCGATAGGGTGTAAGTGGATCTTTCGGGTCAAACGGCGGGCGGATGGTTCTATTGATCGGTTCAAAGCCCGACAGGTGGCCAAAGGCTTTCTTCAAGAGGCGGGGCGTGATTACTTTGATACCTTCAGTCCCGTTATGAACATGGTTGTCAAGTCGACAAGTCGAGTCGAGTCGGTGACGGGGAGACTAGTGGACTAGGCGACTAGTCGTAGACTAGTCGACAAATCATAATTAGTATTGAAATTTTTAACATTATATATATCTACATTAACCCAACAAGAATATATATATATTTATATGTCAAAATACCATAACCAAAGCAAATTTATGTTTAAAGATAGCACATAAAGTCAACAAAGAGTACATAACAAGCAAATATCCTTCAATCTTGAAAAATAACACACCAAGAAAGATAATTAACAAGAGCCTAGAACGCTTAAAATATTAAAATAAGAAATACAAAACCAAAATATCAATTAAATTCAGAAAAAAATT